GCCGGGGCGACCATCGGTGGTATTTCAAGCGGTTTGGGGGGGGGGGGGGGTCTCCTCGAGGTCGACTCAGCCTTAAATGAGTACCTGCAGCGGTGGTTAAACATCAGCAACGCGGGGGGGGGGGGGGGTCCGGGCGTGATGCTGCCTTGTCCTAAAGACGAAACGCGCACGCGGGAGAGCGGTTGCATAATTCACGTGGAGGCAGCATCTATCTCTCCTCGCTCCTCGCTTGCTTCACAAGCTTTCACCGTCCCACGGGGTCACGGAGTTTGCCAATGCGACCTTTCGACAGAGCGGCCTCACAATCAATCGGCTGGCCTATTTAACTCGGTAAAAGGCGCAATTTCAAAAGCGGGGGGGGGAGGGGGGGGTGATGTAGCGGTTACTTTTTTTCCTTTACGTCCACCTCTCAAACCCCGACGGGTCGACGGGATCGCTCGGAGAGATGGAGACTCGAAGCTGCAGGTGCCCTGGGGGAGGTAGAGCAGCGAGCGAGCACGGAGCGACCCCGCAGCGACGCGTTCACGCGCTAGAGCGGAGCAGAAGCCAGCTCCTAAAGAGCACAAACTTGTCAATTAAAAACATCATCTTGCCAGGTAAGGCCCATTGAGCTATACAGCTCTTTTTCAGAAATGACCTGGCCACAAATGATAGCTCAACGAAGTGGCGTACCACGTGGAAATGTATAGCAGCCAAACACTCCGAGCGCGTGATTCTAAATGTGGAGGGAAAAACCGGCGGACCCTGGAGAAAAATCCACGCGATCACGAGGCGAGAGACACGCAAACTCCAAATATACAGGCGTCAGGGGTCGAACCCACGACCTGTTGTATACCAGGCGAGGTAGTTAAGATCTCGCCACCATGGCACCCACAAGGATGAAAGAACCACAATGTGTTTGTAATACACGACCCTCCGTCACAGTTCGATTCCGAGTCATGGCTAAGATCAGCAGCTTATGATATATCCAAACCGGCCCGTGGCACGCCGCTCGACCATCCCGCGCAGACCAGCGGCGGGAAGAGGTATGGTCAAGCAACCACCGTGGCAGACACTGCATGGGGGGGGGGGGGGGGGGGGAGATGTTCATCCAGCAGTGGATTGACAAAGGCTTGACGATTACATGAGCAGGAATACTTTAACGGGACTCATTCACTAAACGAGGCCACTTTCATCAAACCTCCTAAGGTGGCACCCCACGTAAAAGCATGACGCCACAAACGCACGTTCAAATCACAAATACACATGGAGAGCGTCAGAAAATATCCCCAACATCAAACCAATCGTCAACATTCCACCCAAGAATTGCCCACTTAATTATTGTTAAATTTAAATCACATGTACGTACGGTGTCGGTGTCGTCTTTATGACACAAAATGCTCAATTTCACCCCGGGCTCAAAAGGCGTCAACAACAACAACACGAAGAATGGCAACAGCGGCAGCCAGGGCGGTCGCCCCGTCCACTCCTGAGACAAACGGCGATGAGGAGACTCGCTCGGTGCGCTCCCGGAGAACGCACGGCTCGGAGAGCAACCACGTGGACGGAGCGAGAGGCCGCCCACCGCCACCGCCACCACCGCCACCGTGCCAGGGCGAGCGCTCGTCAGCTTTCGCATCCCACGCGTGATGCGCGCGCACGTAGACACACCGTGCTAATCGCACCTCCGATTAGCACGGTTTGGCTACGTACGATGCGAAAGAAGTTCAACGTACGTGACGTCACCGCGGTACTGGCGCCGGGATAGGTGTACTCGGAGGCCGTCACGTGTCGCGTCGATGGCTCACTGGCAGGTGGTCCACGGGAGAGGGACCCAGGTGTTTTGAGTCGAATGATTAGCGGCAGACGCGCAGACACAGACGCCACACGTACGTTAATGTGTGTGTGTATATATATATAAAATCAAACGTACACTGCTGTCCAGTTTGAACGACTTGCATTCGGCGTGAAATACTCGCCCAGTGTTTTTTTTGGTCCCACTGTAGACCTACCGCAAGCGATTCAACTCATTTTTGACAGCGTCATTTAAAAATTCACAAGAGGTCATCAGAGGTTCAAGTCGCCACCACCTTCGCCTCATGCCAGTGTTCTCCACCAAGTTTCAGAGGCGGGCCACTTTCGCCGATAAGACATCATCAGTGCACGAGGGCAGCCACACATTGACAGCAGCACGATGACGAGGGGGGGGGGGGGGTTGTTTTCACCAGACGTTGTGTATCGTCGGTGGCCGCACAACAGGGGCCGCGCGTTAAAGGTCACCCAGGGGTCACCGTCAGTGGCCCGCGGGGCCTTGCAACGATGAACACCGGCCTTACGGCGCAGGCTTACCTTACGCGCTGGCAAGCCACGTCGCGGCTCACTTGATTCAGCAAGTCACGTGATAACACAGGTGGTGCTTCCCTCCCCCCTCCCCCAAGTGTAAAAGTGGAATTGTTCAAAAGTGAGAAAACGCTGGGCGTGCGCGCGCCAGGTCACGTTTCCACGCGATTACGGACGCGCACGACCAGCGTTTCGGTTTTATACATCGCTCTGGAACTAATCAGTTCGGTTGGCGCCTCCGTAAAAATGTCAACGTTTGTTGCCGATCTTTTCGCCGCCGAGTACGCATGTACACCCAGCGCTGCCCCTGCCATGTTTGAGACTCCGTAACACGACTAAAACTGAAATGTAATCAGGCACGCTCACGATTAGGTGCTTGCACCAAGTACAAACATTCGTCTGCTCCGCACGCCATTCCGATCTTCCTGTAAGAAAAGCCTCCAATGGCGTATTCACAGTGAGAGAATTTGCGAATCTCCGACAAGGACATTATTTGTTTTGTAAACAGAAATACTGCCGAACCTGCAGCAAGCCAAGTAAGGCTTACCCACCTAATGTAAGCGTTTGCCGCCAGTATGAGTTGGCCGAGAAAATATGATTCAACAATAAAACTCCAACATACAACCCACGCAATGGCACCCCGGGTCTTGCTACTCACGTTGGAGCCACCGGGGGATGCTGCCACACTGGAAAGGTTCGAGTGCGGGCAGTATCACCGCATCGCGCGGCGCTTTCAGATGCTCTTCTGCGGCCGTCTGGAACGCTCTTCTTTCCGATATTAGGAAGCCACCGGAAGCTACGCACTTTTAAATAATCTCTAGCTTTAAAACGAATTTCTTTATAACTGCTATTTGTATTTAGTTTGTTGTCTGGCCCCCGCACGTCCGATTAGCGCGGTTGGCTATGTATGGTGCAAAAGAAGTTGGCGCCAGTTCGATTCCATCTTGCGGCTCGACAGTTGAAACAACGGCGTAAGTTTCTTGGTGCTGCCCGATTGCCGATGACGGCACAAAAAAGGCCACCCTCCTCCTCCGCCCCACCACATTCATTTGTGCTTTTACTCAATTTGGCTCAATTCCAGCTCCGAGAAATCAAATATCAGTTTGACTGTCACCGAAACATTGGTTGACAAACACTACTCTCATACAGCAGAGCGGATGGGAAACTGCTGCTGTGCCCTGCTATGTGGACCGGAGGTCACTTGATGGGATCTCAAAAGTAGTTCCGTGAAATATCCTTCCGCAAGCCATTCTTTTTAACACAGGGTGACGCACCACCCTGCCAGAGTTCCGAATGGTCACTTTGTCTCGTGACAAGACGCCTTTCGAACAAATGCAATAGAATTGTGGGAAAAAGCCAAAAAAACAACCCGATTTTTGGCCACCTCAACCGGTAGTGACAAGGCACACACATCTCAGTTTGAGCATACGGCGAGATTTACATCTCGAATAAACGACCGAAACGCATCGCACCTTCGCGGTAAATTAGCCCCGCCCCCACCCCATCCGCCCCTGTTCGTCGTCGGCAAAATCGGGGACACAACCATCGGGAACGTTTTCACCAAAGTGCAAGTGGAGCACGTTTACACGCGCACGGAGGGGTGAGACGCGGCGGCAACACGAAGCCGGCGGTCGGACGGAAGCCGTCCTCCTCACTGCGGCTACCAGCGGCGCGCGCTCGCAAACTCGCCGGAGGGAAGGAAGGAAAAAAAAATTTACGCACATAAATAAAAAAAAGCACGGCCTGCGGTGGAGTGCCGGCGGGGGCCGCGGTGGCCATACATAATCATTAAGCACGACGGCTTGCATCCTCAGCACCAGCGCACAGATATATCTATTCAAAGCATTCTTAAGCGAGCGAGCGCGCGCGGCAAACGGAGGCCAGGGAGTGGGGGGGGGGGGGAAGCGGGGCGGCTCTGCGAAATCTCACGCCGTGGCGGCGGCGGCGGTGGCGTTGGCGGCCCGGTCTGCGCTGGGAGTGGGGCGATGGCCGTGTGGCCACGGTGGCCGCCCCCCCGCCTCCTCCCCCGTCCGGCCGCTCGGGCCCACGACAAGGGCCGAGCGGCCGTACTGAATCACGTGAGTGTAAACACGAGGGCGCCCAGACGTGACAGCAGCGGCGGCAGTAGCGGCCGCGGCAAGTCGGCACCCCGACCTTCCCATCGTGCCCTCCCCGCCATCCCACGGGGTCAACCGCTAACCCTCGAGCACGTGTCACCCGCCAACACAGGAAACGTCCGCTGGAATGAAATGTAAAAAAAAACATGTATATGGGTGCAGCGTGTATAAATAATCACTTAAAAAGAACTAAAGGGAAGGGGACAAAAAAAAAACTATAATTCAGCACTATCTGGCGCATACCACGCACTTGCATATTTGCGGACCCAGACAGTCAGTGGTCAGGGGTTTAAGGCAACAAAAAATAAAAGGAAAATAATAAAAGGAAAAAAAAAACACTCCGAGAGTAAACATGCCCCAGGGAGATGGAGCGCAGGCTGGGAGAGCGCAGGGCGACACAAACACTCCGCGCCCACCAACACGGCCCCGGGGGAGCGCGCACGCACACACGCACACACACACGCACGCACGGCGATCCCCCCACGGGAGCCGACACGGGTGGCAAACTCCGTGAAACCCCCCCCCCCCACCTGCCCCCCCCCCCACTCCACCAAGCGCGGTGGCTCGCCCCGCTGGCAGCACGCACCATCATATCGCAACTTCTTCCCAGGTGTGGACGGCTGCCTCGGAGCGTACCACCTTTTGCGTAGTAGGGGACAACCCTTCCACAATCTCCTGACGTGCGAGATGTGGTAGATGGGGCCGGGCGACTCGGGAGGCAGGGCTGTCGAGAGGTGTGGGATGACGACGGGATGACGGGCGGCGGTTTGCGCGGAGGTGTCAAGAGACGTCGCCCACGCTCCCGGCCGCGCGGAGGGCTCGGTGGACGCCCTGGGTTTGCGAGAGAGCCAAGAAGCCGAGGCTGGAGCTTATGCCGCACACCTGGGGCCCAGGTGTAGGCACCTTCTCCCGTTCCTCCGGCTGCTTCGCGGGAGGCTTGGCCGCCCTGCGAAAGCGAACGTCGGTCGGTCTCGTCACAAGCGGCGAATGAGTTGCGCGGAAGGGCGGGGTAGGTGTTATGAAATTCGTGACGAAATCGCTCGTCAACAAAGTGCTTTCAATTTTAGGCAACAACGACGACGACTACTACCGCACACGGAAGATCAAAGCGTGACCGACTAAGAAGACTTACAGAGTTCACCAATTGAGTGGGTGACCTGACAATATTGAGGGAGGGGGGGGGAGGGTGGAATTGCACACACACCCTCCCCCCCCCACACCAATACCTAATAACGGAGCCGACTTCATGTTTGGTCACCCGTAGTCAAACTGGGCTCAAAGAACAAGTACGTAAAACGACGGCCAAATCAACGCGGCGTTTCATTCCCAAGCCACTTGGGAAGCCACCGAGACGTGGAGCGGAGTGCCGTCGTTTGTGGAGGTCGCGGTGAAATGACAAAAACCCTCCCGCGCGAGTTATGGCTCTGTTTAGAAATTAGTTACACTTCATCACGGCAGACGGCTCTTAAGAGATGTGACCCCAGGCCTGACCTCTACCCCGAACCCCCGACAACAAACCATAACCCTTAACAGACTGGAGTCGGCCACAACTGATGACCCAAACCCTAACTATAACCCTTAACCCTGACCACCAATCATTCCCCTTAACAAACTTTCGTCGGCTTCAACTGCGATGGCCTCAACCCTACCCCGCGAAAACTGCAATCTCCGTCTTGCGAAGGCTTTTGCTCGGCTGCAATTCCCGTCACAATAGTTGGCCACGGGGGCCGATCCGACCCGAACCTTAGCCAACGCTCGTCGGCGCTCGGTCGCGTCCTCATCACTCTCGCAAACGAGCCTAGCCCTGGTCGTCTCTTGGGTTCTCACCTGGTTAAACAGGCCAACTAACGAGACCGTTCCGTGTCGCTGCTATGCCGCCACTGGGGCGGCGGTGCCGTTCACCGTTTGGCGCAGAGGTTTGACGGTTGGCGTCTAAGCAGGCTGCCCCGGTTAATGCTGCACGGGTGTTACCCGTGATATAATCTGCTTCGCAGTGGACGTTAACGATCCCGTCACGTCATTCGTAAGAGTTTAGGTCCTTGTGTCTATGGCATTACGGTGCAAATACGACACATTAAGAAAACAATCGCCTGGAAACAACTCATTAGGAATATAACATAATGAGCATTGTCCCCTACTGCAGAAACATGACATGACCCTCCTGAAAATGAGTCATGAGACTCAGCGAGGCTTTCCTGGGTACACAACCATAATATAACAACTGCTCCCACAAACTTCGCTCCCCCATTCCGCCATCCTGACTGGTTTGACTCATCCACTGTTCAACCAGCACACTGCCGGTCAGAAGAACTCACTCACTCACCCACTCACCGACTCACTCACTCTCCACACTGCAGGTCACACCCACACACTCCCTCGCGCACTCACCCACCCGCGCACTCAACCACCCACCCACCTCACTCACTGACGCACTCTCCACACTGCAGGTCACGGCAACACACACACACCCACCCACTCACCTCACTCACTCACCCACTCTCCACACTGCAGGTCACACCCACCCACCTACACACTCCCTCACGCACGCACTCACCCACCCACGCACTCTCTCCACACACTGCAGGTCACAACGCTTCTCCTCCTGCTGCTGCTTTCCACCCTCGCTGCACGGCTCGATTTGCCGGCGCCCGAGCTGCGAGCGTCTCCCCGCGAGGGTCTCCCACCTGGCGCTGGCGGCCTCGCCAGTGACGACGGCGCGGGGACGAGGCTCCGACCTCGCCGACGGAGTCCACTGCGCAGGACGAGGGGCGAGGGAGCGGGCAGGGAGAGGAACACGACGACGAGTCGGACTTAGTGCAAAGACAAAGATCCCCCGCATAGCCTCAACAGACTGTTGGGGCAAGTGCTGTTAGCGAGGAGCACCTATGAAGGCCGGCAAGGCACACGTAGAGATGGGTGGCCAACGCCACGCCCGGCCGTGTTTGTCACCCCAGTGGCAATGTTTACACACCGCACCAGGTACTCATTTGAGGCGGAGTCGACCTAGGGGGAGGCTCATCACCGGTTCAGATAATCATCAGCGGTGTTTGGCCATGAGCAGGAATCGAACTTGGGTCGCCGGGTTCGTAGTGCAGTGCAACAACACCCACTGAGAACACCACCAACACCGCCACTGGGGTCAGTGGATTTAGAGTGCAGTGGACCAACCACGGCGCCACCGCCCCCCTCTCATAAGTTCAGTAACTACTCCACAAGCACACTGCCACGCTGCATCCACACCACCACCGCCACCACCAAAACCACACCACCACTTGGATTTATCCTGGATAAATCCGATGAGCTTCGAAGCTCCTTTTCACAGACGTCCAGTAGTTGCACACAAACACCATGACCACAATCACTCAACCACCGCCACACCACCGAGCGCCGCACCGTTCCCGACCTCTACTTACGATGTGGGCGGGGTCCTCTGCAGGGCCCAGGTGAACGCCCTTCTTGCAAAGGCGCTTCAGAAGATCGATGCCTGAACAAGAAACGTAGATTCGTTAGAACATTACGACTGCGTGCTTCCCGCTGGGATTCTGCCGTCGCGTAATGGCTAGCGCCACGGACTTGTAAAACCCAGAGGGGGTCGTCGGATCGATTCCATCCCACGACGCAGAAAGTTTCAACAACGGTGCAACTGCCTCTGTCCACCCAGCAGTGCGAATGGTCAACGCCACAGTTCGTCAATCAGCAGGTTGCGTGCGGCGGGGTAAAGTGTGGGTAACTCCCGCTTTTTCTTCCAACACGGTCGGGCGAGCGTCGTGGAAGGGTGGGCCAACACTGCTCTCTGGAGGGGCTCTCTAGATCTCCCTCTAAGAGAAGGCCCCTTCCAGCAGCAGTGGCGTGAGCAAGACATTGTTGGGCTACACCTTCATAAACAAATCTACTTGGCACGTGGCAGGTTTTCGCAGCCATTCGTACGATTAACATTTCATTATTGGGTGAAGTTACGTGACGATCAAGACCCCCATTCTGACACCCTGCATTTTATTCCAACTTCCTGGATCTTGTCCGGAAGATTCTTGGTGTAGTCTCAAGTGCGATGTCGCGTCTCACTGAAAAATGTTCGCGATGCGAATTTAATTATTTTACTTCAATGGGCGAGCGAGCCGAAACAATAACAACCGGCGCGTCATTAACCACTCGTAAACGTGACAGCTTAGGGGCCATCCATTTAGTACGCGTGGAGGGGGAAGGGGGGTTAACCCAAATGCGTACGCTTGCATATGGGGGTGTCTACTGACAATGTACGCATAGGAAACGGGGGGTGGGGGTGGTGAAGCCTCGATAATAATTTGTCGACATTGGCCTACAAATCAGCCACATTTCAGTTTCTTCAGCTCAGACATCAAGTACTACCGGGACAAGTGGGACTGTGGGAGAGGTGTCACTCGTGTGCCACCGTGCCCCCGACTGCAGCCATCACGCAGCTCAGCAAAATAAGTGGCCAAGGTACGCAACTTAATTCTTTAATGCAGCCGGCGGTGGACTGTTTGCTTAAACACGTTAATATTATTAATCCTTGATCGTTTCTGCGTGGATTAAATATCGGCCGTTTTATAGGATTCGGGGGGAGGGTGCGTCAAGCGGGGGGATGTAAAAAGTACGCGCGGGTAGAGGGAGGGGGGGGGGTCAATGACAGATTTTTGCGTACCTTCTAAATGAATGGCCCCTTAATTTGTTTGGCAATGTCAGGTGGCGAAGGGGTGTTACGACACAGATTTTGGCCAGACCATGACGTGGCCTAAAAGCGAATCGCCGCATGGCATCGCGTCATCGGCGGACGGGCGAGCGGGCAGGCGGGACCGCGACGGCACCTGCTGTGGTGCCGGGCGGGTGCGCCAACGTCCAGCGGTGCAGCAGGAGGTCGTGGTAGCGCTGCTGCGCGAAGAAGACGAGGTAGCGCGGGGCGGGAGAGGGGAACGCACGCTCGAAGTGCCCGCACCGCCGCAGCTCGTCCTCCGCCTCCACCAGCACCCGCACGTCGCCCGGCGTCAGCGTGTCCAGCAGCGTGCCGCGCTGAGCCGCCCACCACCACCAGACCACGGAGCCGCGAGGCACACGCACGCACACGCACGCACACGCACGGAGCACACACGCACGGAGCACACACGCACGTACACGCACGGAGCACACACACGCACACGCACGGAGCACACACGCACGCACGCACGCACACGCACGGAGCACACACGCACGCTCGTTAGAAATATTCCGCCCGTCTCGGCTTATTTAAACCGATAATTCAAACACACTTTGCAAAAGGAAGCAAGAATATAAACGTACACCAATTCCTCATTTAACGCGATTCGTGCGTTGCTGAAAAGGGCCGCGTAAAGTGGAAACGTGTTAAGTGAGGAATGACTGTGCACACGTTTATTGGGCATGAGAAAACAATGCACATTTCAATCACATTTGAACAATAAAGTCAAGCCTGCAGCCATTCCCATGGCGGGAAAAAAGTACTGATATGAGAGTAAGCCGCCACGCGGATCGTATCATTCTGCGCGTATACCCAGAATTCCAATGCTGCTCGGCAGCGCAGGCGAAGAAAGTAGTCCGTCGTCGACCGCTCAGAAACCGGGTTATAACAACGGGCGCCGTTACGCATCGTGCAAAAAATATCCCCCGATAGAAGAACCACGGTACAGTGAAAACGCGTCGTGTGAACACGCGTTAAAGCATAGACTCACCGTACAATGTATTTGGTGCTAAGCACCCTGATGCCACGTTTCAAAACTGTTGCTTTTCCCCTTTTGGTATATCAAAGAAGAATCCCCAATGCTCAAAAATTACTCAACTGGGATTAGACACAGCAGCGACATCGCCCCCTCCCCCCTTCTGCGAAACATTGGCCTGGATATGAAGGACTGTGGAGTGGACGTGGAGGTCATTGCCCAGGAGATGAACGAATGGCGAAAGAGGAGCAAGGAATGGAGAACTCCCACGTTGGGAAGACGCCCAGAGGCAGGGAAGCAGGCAGGGCAGGGAGGGAGGGAGGGAGGCAGGCAGGGGAGGGAGGGGAGGGAGGGGAGGGAGGACAGGGAGGGAGGGAGGCAGGGAGGCGACGCTTCGCTGGATGTCGACGATTGTCTCACCTCGTCGAGGTTGCGTGGGGAGAGGTAGAACGCGTGCTTGGAGCGCTCGTTGGTGGCAACGTCGCTCCCGGTCCTCGCTCCGTCACCGCCTCCCTGCAAGCTGGGAATCCGCTCGCTGTGACACGTGCAATGTGCGAGCGTGTAACGTGCGTGCGTGTGAGTGCGTGAGTGCGTGTGTGCGAGCGCGTGAGCGTGTGCGTGAACACGTGCGTGCGTCTCCCCCTACCTGGCTGGAATTTGGAAGCCAGCCATGTTCAACAGGTCCTTGATCATCTGGCCCTTGACAGCGACGTCGAGCGGCGAGTTCGAATGGAGGCTGCGACGCACACGGGCACACCACCGCACAGCGTTCCCGTCAACTCTCCCACCCGGGCTTGCGAGTTTTAAATTCGACTGCGAAAAATTTTCGCGGTTGTGCTGTACGGCACTACGCGACAACAGGCCACTTAAACTAAAAACTAAACTATTTGTATCATACCAGGTAAGGCCCCACTGAACTTTATAGCTGTTTTTCAGAAGCGACCTGGCCACAAATGAGAGCTCAACGAAGTGGCTTATCGCGTGGAGATGTATAGGAGCCAAACACTCTGAACGCGTGACGTTGATTCTAAATGTGGAGGGGAAAACCGGAAGACCCGGAGAACCCACACCCTCCTGTCTACCAGGCGAGGTAGTAAACATCTCGCCACCGTGGCGCCCCAAGTGGGAGAGGGGTATGATGCACAACGGCAGAAACCCTCGCCAAGGCGGTCAAAAACTCTTAGCGCGCGGGAGAAGTTCCTGAAGAAGTACCCAGCAGGCGGAGTGAAACGTCGGACAGGATGCCGAAAACAAGTCGCACGCCGCAGAACCAGGAAACGCGTCGCAAGGTATAGTAATAGGTTTTTGCCCTTTCAACTGGTACAAAAACTGATACCTTTTTAATGCTGTGAAAGTGGATGGAGGATTTTACAGGAAAATCGGTGTATAATAAGGTTTAGTTTTACATGGGGTCGTTTATACAAATTGCATCTCAGCCTTGCCGAGGATCCACAGACAAGCTGAAAGGCAGCCAGGAGGTGAGCCGTTGCCAACATTTGCCCGAGCTCTGCACTCCTCTAAATATTAAGATGTTTTAAGACTAAGAATGAGTGTTTATACACGTGGGAGGAAACTGGAGTAGTGTGCTTATATCAGGAGTATTCCCTAACGATCCCACCCCCCCCCCCACCGGCCAACCAGTTCAAGGCAAGAATGCGAAGCTTATACATCAGAAGTGCACTCATACAAGGTGTGCTTATAATCCAGCATCTACTGCACGGCTTTCTGGCGCGGACCACGTGGGAGGAAGCGGCAGGGGCGAGAGCACGCGGCTCACCTGGGCGAGATGTTGACCTCCAGCAGCCAGGGCTTGAGCTTCTCGTCCAGCATGACGTCGAAGCCAAAGAGCTCGTGGCAGGAGCGGCGGTTCCCCACAAACTGGGCGAGCAGGCTGCTCACAAACGGCTCCGAGCTGCGCGGGACACGCGAGCCGACACGTTTAAAAAAAAAAGTCACGAAGCAAATTTTTAAAACTTATAAACTGAACTATTTTTTTAATTTTACCAGGTAATGCTCACCGAGCTACTTGGCCGTCCACAAATTGATAGCTCCACGAAGTGGCTCATCCCACGTGGAAATTTACAGCAGCCATAAACTCCAAACGCGTGACGTTGATTCGAAATGTGGAGGGCAAAATCGGAGGAGCCGGAAAAAAATCCACGGGGAGAGAGACGCGGAAACTCCAAATATACAGGCGTCAGGATGGGATTGACCCCACGACCCCCTGTATACCAGGTGAGGTAGTTAACATCTCGCCAATGCCCACAATACGCCAGGCCCGACCGCCTTTGTCTTCCCAGTGCTGATGTTTACACATTGCACCAGGTGTTCATTAAGAGAGGAGTCAACTTGGGGCATTGCCCAGGACAGGTTCGGATATTCGCCACGGATGTCAGCCATGTCCGGGATTACATTGCCAGGTTCGTAGCATGCTCACACACAGTGCCCACAACGCACCAACAACAAAGTGAGGTCAGTCCGGGTCCGTCTCATTAGGTCTTGTATCACTGGGGTTTGGAATCACGGTCCAATGTGCCATGGCTCGAATTTCATGAATTCCATAGGTTATTAGCTTTGATACTCGCGTAATGATTTTACAGACCATGTCAATCCACTGCTGGATGACGGGCTCCTCACCCCCTGTTGGTCATGGGGCTTGTTTGACCATACTTCACCACGTTGGTCAATGAGGGATGGTGAAGATGGGGAGTGGTGGGGGGGCGAGGGCTGGTTCAGATGTCACTCGGCACTCCCCCACCATGCTACCCCCCCCAATCTATTATGAGTTGTATAATCCTGTATTCACAATGAACCATTGTTGTATCATCCTGATTCGCAACGAACCACTGGTACCAGATGTCATGAAAATAATTTCATTTTATATCGCGTCATTCATGCAATTGCATCCCACAACGCTGCACATCAATTATCCAGTTCCGTACACAGATAATCCAAAAAGAAATCCCCACTACTTATCAAATAAAAAAAATAATACGTAAATAACGAGATAAAAAATTCACCGCAGAGAAAATAAATTTAAATAAATTAATTCGTTCGGTCTCCATACCCCAGACCACAATCCCAACATTTCGCCGGATTCTGGAGACCCTTCATCTGTGGTGGTGGTGGTGGAGTGGCCAAAAAGTTACAAGCCAGTTGGACAACAATGAAAATGCCTATTTTCCAGCGTATGCCAGGACAAATAAACAGGCCTTCCCGTCGCGAGTGCATGCGGCAACGTAACAACCTACACTACGTTAGGTTTCTCCATCGATTATAATAAAACCAAAGAAACAATTCGGTCCGCGTCCGTCCCACGCCACAAGGGCGGCCGCGTGATGCGGGGGGGGGCAATCACGCGATGACGCAGGGGGGGGGCACTCACGCGATGACGCGGGGGGAGGGGGGGCACTCACGCGATGACGGTCTTGACGGCGATATCCTTGATCTGCTCCCATATCAGGCGGCAGTTGACTCCCTTGTCACACAGGTAGCCCCACAGCGCTTTCAAGGCCCTGCCAAGTCGAGGCACAGAGCAAACACGTCACACGCCGGCACCGTCGCCGACCCCCCCCCGCCCAACTCCCGCCCTGTGTGCTCAGCGCTCTCCCATTAGCATTCCGCCACCGCCGTCTTCACAAGCGCTCCGTTTGAAAGTGGCGCCCTTATCTCTTCCCCTCTCGTGCCCTCCGCTCTCTGGTGCCGCTTATCACCTGCGTGCGTGTGGGCGGACATGTCTGTGTGCGTGTGGGCGCGAGTTGGGCGGGTGGGTGCGCGTTTGGTGGCACGCCTACGGCTGGAGCGACACGTCCGGCGTGGGTGGGCGCTTATCAGCTCGCCGGGCGATTTCGGTCTGTGTATGCCGCGGCCAAACACACGCCGCCGCCCCCCCTGTCACACAAACGTTTTGACAGCGGCGGTGGCGGTGGCGATGGCAGCAGCGGTAACAACGGGTCCACACCCTGGCAACGCAGCCAGCCGGCAGAACGTATTTGAGAGAAAACCCCGCCCCGGATCGCAAACACGGTGAACTCTCCCCGGCGCGAATCGCCCACACAACGGCGGCACCCGTGAGTGAAGTAGCGCGCGACGATGGTTCCTCCTCGCGAGACCGCCACCAAACGTTTGAGACGATCTTCCGCTGGCGAAGGTTTTTTGTTTCGTTTCGAGCTTGCGCCGTAGGGCGCTCTCAATCCCCTCACGGGTCCGTACCACGCAGACACACGATGGAGACGCGTATGGAAGTACAGCAAGTGGGTTCACCCATGTATTTATCGGTGGTGAACATCTCAGCAGCAGCCGGAAACGTTATATGTATGTTGAACTTCTTTCACGCCGTACGTAGCCAACCGTGCTAATTGGAGGTGCGGGGGGAAGGAAAACGACAAAAGATAGTTATAAAATCGAGGGAAGAATTCGAGCCACTCCATCCGAGTTCCTGAAGAAGCACGTGAAGCGAAACGTCGGCCACTGCCCCAAACGACGCGCAGGTACGACCCAGGAAAGCGCGTCGGACAGTTTTAAGCGATGGTCCGTGGCCGGCGGGAGCGAGAGAAGGGGGGGGGGGGGAGGGCGGTGGGGGGGGGTCCCCGAGCATCCGGCGCTCACCACTTGTGGCCCTCGCACTGGGTGCGGTCGTCGTTGCTCCTGTAGGCCGCGTTGTTCTTGTTGACGCTGTAGTTCGTCAGGTGCATGAAGCGGTTGCCCAGAGTCTTCGTGGCAGAGGAGTACCTGCGTGCGTGCGTGCGTGTGACGGTGGCAGCACGTTAAAGTCCGCGGGGGAGGGGGACTTTGCGACGCGTGCGAATCCGTATAACATTGTAAATGACTAATCGTGCAAAAACACATGTACACTCAGCCGCAACTTACCTGGGCCACTCCCGCTGAGGGCGTGCACGGGGAGATAGACACGCATGTGTCAATACGATGAGGCGCACAGACAAAATACAGACACGTCATCATCGCGATCGCCGATTCAACGGCAACATTGACTGTGGTCTCAATGCAGAACCTGGACTCTTACACGCATCTCTGGGACGGGGAGCGAGTGGTACTGGCCATGGGGGTTGTTTGATCATACTTCATCACAAGGCTGGGTTCAGATGTCATTCGCCGCTGATGTAAGCCGTGGCGTTAAGATGTTAAAACACCAAATGGAAACCTTTTGCAAGGAATCTAATTCGCATTAACCACACGTACTTGTGGTGAACATGCTAAAAATTTCTTGCTGTGGTTTTCCCACCTGATGATTGCTTGTGTTGCAATCGAAACGTCGTGATTTATTTTTTTTTCTACCTACGTGACTTTACCGAAAGAACCAGAGTATGGATTCCTGCAGTCACGAAAGCTTCAAATCTAGAATGCTCAGATTATAATATATGGCATTGCCTTTGAAACTGATTGGCCTTTACCAGAGACAGTCTTCTTTAGGGTCCAGTCTCACCAGTGTCAGACCAGCGAACGCCAAAAGGCGAACCGTGATCCTGGCAAAAAAGGTGCCATCGATGACGTTCTCTTCATGCTCTGTTGCACTGTGCCATCTTCACTCTCACCTGCTTCTGGTGCTCCCTTAAAACAACCCCCACATCTCTTCTCCCTTGCCCATCCTCCTGCTGCTACTGCCTCCCAGCTACGGACCAGGTCTACCCCAACCCCCATCACTCATTTCCCCGCACCTCCGATTAGCATGGTGGCCCACGTACGGTGCGAAAGAAGTTCACACACACATAACCGAACCGACCTTAACCCCTCCCATGCTGTCCTCCTGTCACCATCACCACACCACCGCTTTTATGAACAACCCCGCTCTCTAATTCAACCGGGGTCATCATCACGCACAACTTCATGAATCTACGTCCAAAATAAGGACAACTCCGAGTGCGCACCATCTCCCATCGAGACTGGCTCGCCGCCGGGCACGTACTTGCAGCTGGCGAAGCGCACCAGGCCGTCCTTGAACACGTAGACACGCAGGGGGTTGTACGAGCTCACGTACACGTAGATGCGCAGGTCGAACTTGCTGCCCTCTATGAGGTAGGGCTTGTGCAGGTACCTGCGGACGCACGCACGTCAGTCGCTCTTCAAACGCGACCACCGCAGTTCACCCGCTCACATCGCGTCACTCGTCGATTCCTCCTGCTCCATGTCAGGGGACTCGGGTCTCCCGCGCAGATTTGTGTCAACCACCACCCTTCAGGTGACAACAACGCAGCCGCTCACCCGTACACTCACGACGCTCATCCACTCGCTGCAGGTCAGAACACTCATCCCTTTCCGCTTCTTCCCTCGCACGGCTCCACCGTGGAGTTTCCCTCCCAACAAAAGTTTTCCCAAGTTGGCCACCGGTGTTTTTGGGACTTTCGGGTCCCGTGCTGAGCAGCCGTGACAAACAACACGCGCGCTCGTTCGCTCAATGATCTCCATACCAGTCTTCATGCAGATTCGCTCATTTAGTCTCGCCACATTCAGGCTTTGGTGTCAGGTTGTAGTCATCGTCTAAAGTAAATAAACGAAAAGAATAACCTGGAAAAAATAATGAAATGCACTTCGTCGACCAACGGCATCACCACGCATTTCACCGTCAAAACTAAGAGTTCACAATTAGAGGTTAGTTTCTGTTTGGGGTGAGATCGCGTTAATATAAATGCGTTGTTAAACCTGACACATTTATATTTACGCGATCTAAAAAAAAAACCTCGTGGATCTTGGTCGCGAAAGCCGACGTGTTGCACAAAACGACGAGTGGCGCTACCTCTGTACAAGTAGAGGCCTCATCTTGGGCAGCTGGCTCCACTTGCTGACCACCTTGATCCCGATCCCCCTCGCCGACGCCGGCTGGAGAGACAGTCGCACGCACGCACGCCCACGCGCTTCACCACGCGGTGCAGGGAATCCCGTGGCGGCCAGCGGGCTTGCATTCGGCCCGCCACTAAAAACTAAACTATTTTTATTTTACCAGGTAAGGCCCCAACTGAGCTATATAGCTCTTTTTCAGAAGCAACCTGCCCATCACAAATGATAGCTCAATGAATTAGCTTATCACGTGGTCATTTATAGCAGCCGAATACTTTAATAAACGCATGTCGATTCTAAATGTGGAAGGGAAAAAAGAACGGAGGACCCAGAGAAAAATCCACGCGACCACGGGGAGAGAGAGCGTGCAAACTCCAAATATGCAGCAGGCATCAGGGTCTGGATCGAACCCATGACCTCCTGTATACCAGGCGAGGCAGTTAACGACGTTTCGTCCGTAATTACAACTAGCTTCATCGTACTCAGATCGTAAATGTTGTGGCTTGGCTCTCCAACACACCGGTGTACTGTACTAGTGACTAATTGGCCACGTTCTGTTTACGTGACAAACCTTACTAATTGGCTGTGTCAGGTGGTGGCGGGTTTTAACGACACATTTAAATATTTACGCGATCTAACCCAAAAAACGTCTACTATGGATGATATTGATCGCGAAAGCCTACTACGTGTTAAACTCCGTTAACATCTCGCCTTTCCTGGGTCAACAAGTGGCGCAATAATAATAATAAATAATAACAACAACAGCACTACGGCACAAGCCACAAAAATCCTTCGCGAGACGGGCGGGCGCAATTGCCGCCCCGGTAAATTCTCACCGGCTTCACGATCCAGCGCACGTGGGTGCCGCCGCCGCTGCCGCTGCCGCTGCCGCCGCCGCCGCCGCCGCCGCCGCCACTTCCGGCCCACGCGAGGCGGAGGGCGCGGGTGTCCTGCGGCAGCACGAACGAGAGCGGCACGAAGCCGAACGAGCGCCGGCCGAACCGCGCGCGCAGCCGCGAGAGGTTCCGCCACAGCCGGTCCTTGCGCCCGATTTGGAAGGAGCCGGGGAAGTGGTTCAGCTGCGGGGTGGACAACGGTGGTGGGGGTGGGACGAGACAAGAAGCGGGACGAGTCGCAGGGATCGTACGAATCACAGAAACAATGGTGCGGCCGTGCGATCGCTCGCTCGCGGCCACTGCTGACGGAGGAAGAGCCTCTACTACGGGGGAGCCGCCCTAGAGCCCCCTTCCAGAGGGAATTGGATCGACTCTCATCGCATTCCTCACGCCTCGTTTGCAACGCTATTTTTTGTTCGTCCTTAATTTGGAGCTTTCGTGACTGCAGGAATTACTCTTTGGTTCTTTCGGTAAAGTCACGTATAAAGAGAAAGTAATAAATTAAATACTAGCATACGATGTTTCGATTGCAACACAAGCAATCATCATCAGGTATAAATGAAACAGAAACACAAATCTAGTATACTTAGAAATGTAATGTAATACAACAGAGAGTCGGATAACATAACAGTCAACACCCTACCTGGTTGATTACGTTCTTCCTGAGAATGCTAAATTTGAGAGAGATAAAACACAGAACCAGAGACATATACACAGACACATAAGTATTTTGCTCACTCCAGTTGCGCGAGAATGGAATTCAGGTCACCGGGGTTCACAGCCCGGCGCGCACGAACCTCGATGCCACTGCTCGACCACAACAATTCCCAAGTTAAAACGCTTTGGGTTAAAAGCGACGGAGTGGGAGACTCACCTTTTGGTGCTCGCGCAGTGCTCTGAACCCCGGGGACTTCATGTGGCGGCCCCAGCAGCCCAGCCAGTCGTGGTTCTCTGCGGACAGAGCGGCGCCGCGCCAGGTTATCCCCTCGCAGGCAAAGCCAACCAGGCCCGCCTGGCTTGGCCACTCTCATCCATTCCCTCCGCCGATGAAGCACGCACGGGCCACCGTCAATTCCTCAACCTCCCTTTCCGTTCTCCTCTCTTCAAGCCTCACCCTCTTCTCGACTGCCCGTTCTCGTTCTCTTCCCTCCCCTCGCCACTCCACTCCTTCCCATCCCCCTCCACTCATTCCTCAATCCATCGTTTTGTAAGCTACGTCAAGCGCCTTGAGTCGAAGGCCCTGATTGGATTCAAAAGTCAAAAGCGCCATCGTTATGATCAGTCCACTGCTGAATGAAGCCCTCCCCAAGTTGTCACAACTCGTATATCACCTGCACACGAGGTAACGTCATCGCTGGTGGACGGCACGATGGGTGTGATCCCTCCTTGGGCTGCTACTCCTTCATTAGTCTCGACTTCCGTCCCTTCCAGCGACCTGTCCTGCCCAATCCCACTTACTTTTCACATTCAGCCATTCAACTATTAAACTTTTTAAGTTACCGGAACTCTAAAAGCTCTTTTGCAGAAGCAACCTCGCCACAAATGATCACTCAAAAAAGTGGCTTATTGCGTGGAAATGTATAGCAGTCAAATACTCTCAAAGCACGTCGATTCTAAATGTGGAGAGAAAAGCTGGAGGACCCGGGAGAAAAATCCACATGACCAAGAGGAGAGAAACGCGCAAACTCCAAATATGCAGCAGGCATCAGGGTTGGGATCGAACCCACGACCACCTGCATACCAGGCAAGGTAGTTAACATCTCACCACTGCAGAGCCCCGTTGTCGTCATCACCATCACCGCTAGCAATGACCCTTCCGCTGCTGGATGAAGGGCTTCCCAAATTGTTGCCGTGTAATTTCACACGCACCATCCGTATTCATTTATCTGCCGGTGGTGGAACACCCACATTCCTACGACGCGACAGTTTTCTCTTTCTTCCGCGCGACAATTATGGAACACCCACATTGAAGCGCTCCTGTACTTTTGACTTTGCAACAAAGTGTACTCATTTTATTGAGTCAGGAGACATGTCCCCGGCATGGAGCAAATCCCTTCAATCGTTCAATCAGTCGTCATTTTACGTGCCACTATCGCCCTCAATGAAGTGGACGGTTGGCTATGTACAGTGCAAAGAAGTTCAAGATACACACAAGCACGACAGCAGAACGGGACAGCTACAGGGGGCATGGAGCAGCAACAGGAATGAGAAAAAGAAGCCCGTCACGACCTCAGCGGCTCACACCGACTGAGCAGAGTAAATTTAAACCGCCCGCAACGAGTAGCATAAGAAAAGTAATTGGTGATTAAAATAAATATAAAGTAAAGAAACCATTTTTTTCCCCTTCTTATAGCTCAGATTTTATGGGGAAGGCTGGGGATTCAATAACAATAACAAACTACATGTATTTGTAAAGACGACTTCCACTATTCTTTGGGTCTTTCGGTAAAAAAACTACGACGCTTCGATCGCAACACAAGCGGTCGTCATCAGGAAAGGCTTCCACTGATGTCTCACGGAGAAAAATAAACACGTCTCTCTCCGATGGTAAAGAGGGCGCGGGGCCTCCGTCATGTTGTCACCGCGGGCGCAGTAACGAGCAGCGTGAGTCACGGGTGCGTCACGACCGCCGGGATTGTTGATGCATCACTGCTGTCCCCCTCATCCCACTCCACGACAGTGGATTTTTTATATAACAGCGGCCACGTGCACCACAGCGCCCGGCGCAACACTGCCCCCTGGCTGCCTGCTGCTGCACCTGCTCCACAGCCTCCTGCGCAGGCCAGCCGTGCCACGACGCGCGGCGCCCTCTCTCTCGCGCACTCTCTCTCTCGTACGGCACGACGTCCGACGTTTCGCGTCACGCACGCCGCGGAGCTCCTTGAGAAAAGTTCTCCGTGTGTCGAGGGCTTCTTCGGCGAACTTTCCGGAGAAGCTCGCGGTTGCTCAAAACAACAATCGTTATCATCAGGCGCATGCGGCGTGTGTAAACCGCGCCCGCACAAACTATGGCAGATGCGGTTAAACTGATGTACAAATGGAATTTTTTTTAAACTCTCCAGCATTGTGCGACTGTGGTCATCTAGAACCGACCGTACAACGTATAAACGACGCAATGCCCCGATCCACAAATACGAAGGAGACATCACGACGATGATGATACACTCTCGCTGCTCATGACACGGTTGTCTGGCTTTGACCACCCGAATGGGAAATTCAAGTCGTTGCTCTGCATCAACATCAGCCGTACGAAAGAAGAAACAGTAGGAGCGTCCAACGACTTCATCTGAGAACGAACGGAGAAGATCGGCCAAAGGTGGAACGGCAAACCGCGGCCGCGGACTTTGCGAGCACCGGCCCTTGGGACATCGACAGCGGCCGACATTGGGATCGCGTAACGTGACAAGATAATTAGAAAACGTGCGGGAGGACGCGGGCGGGTGGGCGAGGCGCTTACTGGCGGTGGGGCGGAAGTGGGAGCGCGCCAACGCCTTCCGCACGACCTGCGGAGTCACGGGGCTCATCTTCCACTTGAGCTTCCTGCGCAGCGGCCACGGCAGCGTCGCGACTGCGCAGGAGAGAAACAGGACGCAGGCGTCAACGGAAGGGACCCATTTCACGATCCCCGTATTGCATTTCCCGACGCCGGTGACCACTCTCCGATGCGGCCCTTGGCCTCCCCCGAGGTCGACTCAGCCTTAAAATTAGTAGCCGGCGCGTTGTGTAGACGTTGGCGCTGGAGAGATAAAGGCGGCTGGGCGTGGTGCTGGCTATCCACCCTCATATACTGACATAGGCATCCAGAGACCCACAGAGAGACCCATAAATAAGCATGCCTCACCGTGTTTCTGAGAGTCTGCAGATGGGGCTCGCGTTAAACCGCGATATAAATTCAAAGCCTATGGCCAAAAATTACCTGGCATGTGCCCGATCTCAGAAGCTAAGCAGTTTCGAGGCTGGTTAGTACTTGTATCGGTGACCACCAACACATATCAAGATTTGTAGGTATTAAGACTGATAGAGCAGAGAGCTGCCAGGAGGTGGCAGTACAGCAAAGGGCCGCAGACAGATCTAACCCAAAACGCCTGTATTACAGATGATGTTGGTCGTGAATGCCGACGCATTAAACAGATCTAAAAAAATTATGTGAGGCTGTGGATTGAACCTATCTGCGCGAAAACGTTTGCGCGTTTAAGCCCTCCGTGGCATGGCGGAGGTGGCATGGCAGGGGTGGCATGGCGGGGGTGGCAAGGTGGGATCGTCATGGTGGGATCGTCATGGTGGGGGTGGTGGCAACATGGTAGGAGTGGCATGGTGAGGTTGAAATTGTGGGGTTGGGAAAGAGCCCTGATGCAAGAAACTAAATGTAGCTCTCCAGGCCCCTGTGCAATGCCCACGACTCTCTCCACAGCCCGACAACCTGGGCCCCGGTGCAGTTGCACCGACTGCACGCTCGACTGCTACGCCACTGCCTGGGTAGAGGAACCGGCATGAAGCAGAACATGGAAATTCTCACCCGTCTCCTCCGCGGTGCCAAAGTAGATGGTGGGCGGCACGTTGTCGAAAATGCTGGGCACGAGCGCCGGCTTGGGTTGCCCGTCCTGGGCGCTGCCCGGCACACTGCGGGGAAGACAGAGACGGACAGGGACAGTCTTACCGGTGCCAAGAGATCCCTGGCCACGTGCAAGTTTGAAATTCCACGTCGGGTGTTCACAGCAATGAAATCTCCTTCTAACATCGATGCGTTTCTGAGATATGCAAACAGATTCTTCACGAATATAGATTTTTGGACTAAAAGCCACGTAATGATCTGGTCACATTTGTTTCATTAACGCCCTCCCTTGTACGTACATATGTTGAACTTCTTTCGCGCCGTACGTAGCCAACCGTGCTAATCGGAGCTGCGGGAGGACAACAAACTAAACAAAAAAAATAAGTGGCTTCCATTACCCATTATTGCCAAAAGAGTTCAATTAACAATTCGGGGCTTGATGGAATGTTACGTCGCAGGGCGAGGCACGTTAATGACGTGAGAAAGCTTTCATCCAGCAGTAGATATAATCATGGGTGATGATGATCAGTCAGAGCCGTGTGATGACATCACCGCTCACGGGAGTCGCACCTGCAGGCGGCAGTGCTCACGGCGAGGTCCAGGGCCGCAGCGTAGTCACCTCCCTCATCGTCAGTGCTGCTGCCGTCACTCACGTCCACCTCATCTCCCACCTCGTCCGGTCCATCCGGCAGCTCCTCCTCGTCGTCGTGGTCGTCTTCGTCATCACCATTGAGGTCCACAGACTGCGCGGAAGAGACCTCCGAACTGTCATCCTCCACCGCCTCGCTCCCGTCCTCCTCCTCCTCCTCTTCTCCGTCCTGCCCACAGTCCCCGCTGCCCAACTCCAAGGGTGGACTGCCGGCCCTCCACCCGCGCTGCTCCAGCTCACGCCCGCTTTGCCCCTGCCCCGAGTGCGCAGCCGACGTGCCGCCGCTCTTGCCGGCGAGCCGCGCGCCGACCCGGCGCGCCGGCGCGCTCCCAGGGCCGCCCCGTGTTCTGCCCGCGCTCGGCTTCGCGTCCGGGTTTTTCACGCGATCCGATTTCGCCTTGCGCGAGCTCAGCTTGGGCTTCCTCGTCAGCGTCGTCGGACAGACGCTCGGAGGAGACTCGCGCAGCGATGCGATGGGGCCGCTTGGCGGATTCACCGTTGGCTCGCTCCCGCTTCTCGCGACACCCGCGGCCAGTCTCTGCACGGCGGCCGTCAGCTGCATCACGGGCAGCTCCGGGCCGCTCGACGCGTCCGTCACTCCGCCGTGCGCGGCAGGTCCCACGGGCATCGCCACGCTGCCGGCGTTCGCTCCGTTGAGCAGCCGGTGGTCATGGATTGTCTCGACGGCCGGCACGGTGTTCTCCACAAACCCAGCAGCAGCAGCAGCAGCAGCGGTGCCGTCCAAGAGCAAATTGACGCTCGTCTGTCTCAGGAAGGGGTTCACGTGCGCCGGTGGCTTTGGTAACGTACGGTGCGCGGGGTGAGCTCCGAATTTGCGTGCCACCTGCTGCGTCGTCGAAACGTCGCGCTGGCGGTGGGGAGCGGCGCCTGGACGTGCGCTCCACCCCGAAACGATCCGCGGTAAAACGCCGTCACCACCGCCACCGGTACCCAACCCCGCCGCGGCAGTCCTCGAATTCCTTCGCAAACTTTTGCCACGCAGGAAATCCAACCGCTGCCACTGCCCGAAAACCGTCGTCTCTCCCGGCGCCGGTGAGGCGGCGCTGGCGCGGGGGGCCGGGCGGACGGACGGCCGCGCCGACTGCACCCTCCGCCTTCCCGTGAGCCTCGGCTCGCCCGAACCGGCGCGGCAAGGCGCGAGCGTCGTCGAGGCGGGGCCGACGACATCCTGCGCCGGCGACCCGAGGTGGCGCGCTCGGTGCCGCGGGCTGCCGGCGTCGGTCCGGGGCGGGGGGCTACCGTCTCCGAGCTGGGGGGTCGCGGCTCCTGCCGGTAGCCCCCGTGCGGCGGGGCCGCCCGTGTCGGCGTCTGGGCCGAGCTCGCGGCGCAGTGTGCCGCAGTGACCGGCGGACAACGGCGGCGGCGGTGGTGGTGCCAGCGCCATTGTGGCTCATACCTTGCGCTCTCGACTCTTCCACGTGCCTGGTCAAGCGAAACAAACGTGTTACGGGGCTTAAAGCACACGTAGCATAGCGTACAAAATAACACGTACGAAATATACAACGGAGGGGTCGCCAATTGTATTAAACACCGAAGGTAGCTTAATTGTAACGCCTCCACCAGCCCAAGCACAGTTGTAAATGAGACCTGTTGTTGAAGTTATTATCATGCTTCTTTGCCTAGGAAAGCCTCACCAAGTCTCAAAACTCTTTTTCAGTAGGGTCCTGCCAAGTTTTCACAATGGGGGGCAATGTTCCTGCTGCTGCTTCGTGTAAATTCCAATTGAGTAATATGCAATAATTTTTTCATCATTGGGATGTTTAGCCGATACCAATGACATCGTTTTTTTTGCCATGCAGGACAGGGGGATGTGGGCGATGGTTGCAATGTGTAACCACAATCGAGTAATTTGCAGGTACATAATTCAGCATTGGGATGTTTTGGCCAATAACATGAGTTACATTGTGTGGGGTTTTTTTTGGTTATGGGAGGAAAACAGAGGAAAGCCATGCCAAACAGGGGACGAAACATACAAACTCAATCTCCTTCAACCTCACTCGCAAGTTCATAAGCACTGAACCTCACTCGCACTCAGTGGACCAGGGCGCCCGAGTCAGGAGTCGAACCCAGGCCCTTCTTGCTGAGGCACTGCACTACGCTGGCGCCCTATTGTTAAATATTAGCCAAAGTGCAATCTTTGCCCTTTGGTGCAAACTTAAGCGATATTAAAGTCATTGTGACCAGCCACGGATGTCACGCTATTAGGTGGCCGGTCTAACCCCCATCGTATGTTTACCAACCTCCACTCGACAGGACATTCTGTGAGCGTCGAGCGGCACATTCCAGTTGACGGGTAACGCATTTTATGAGGCTCGTGAGAAAGCGAGCAGCCTAGTTTTATAAAAGCTTTAGCTACTCCCAGAGCCCAGCATTACAGTGCTAATCAAACAGAAGATGAAAATAAGCACACCGCACAGTTCTGATATAAGCAACACATTCTCACATTATACTGGTAGAGGTGGGGGGGGGGGGGGACGTTAACGACATCCCATGATACAAACACTCTTCTGACATACACGCACATCCGGACTTGCTCCAAAGGGTGTGTGTGTGTGTGCTTATATCCAGCTGCTGACTAATCCAGTCTCAACACGACACTTTTGGCAGTCGCCCTTCAAATTCCACGCTGCAGAGTAAAAAATGACGCTGGGTCTAACATACGGCAGCTGGGCTGTATATTTTTGCCCGCCTGACGTGGCACTGCGGGGGACTGAAACGATTCAATCACGACTTCTTATCGGACTTGGCCGCTGCCGTGGGTTTAACGGTTCCCATGTTGGACTCACGATCCGGAGGTCGGCGCTTCGATTTTTGCGGCGCGGCTGTTTAAAAACGACGGTGCAGGTTTCCTAACAATCCCCCTTTGCCTCTGTCTGCTCATCAACAGTACAGACCTATGTCAGATACTTATTTGAGGCCAAGTCGACCTAGGGGAGAGGCCGGAGATCGGTTCACACTCATACACAACGAAGACAACTGGCTGCTGAAGTGCTGTTTGCGTGGTAGCCACGAAGCGGTATAGCGTTTACCCTCATACGCTCATTCATTCGCCGAAAACGCCTTGATATATAGAGGAGCCCAGAGCTTGGATAATCGTTGGGTGGCTCCGGCTCCTCCTCACAGCGCCTCCGAGTTGTCCTCTCTTCGAGAGAAAGCACCGCGCGGCGACGTTGGCTATTTAAACTATTTTTTTTTTCACCAGGTAAGGCCCACCAAGCTATGTAGCTCTTTTTCAGAAGCGGCCTGGCCATCAAAAAAATTATAGCTCAACGAAGTGGCTTATCATCATGTGGAAATTGATAGCAGCCGATTTCTATAAAAACGCATGGTGCCGATTCTAAATGTGGATAAAAAAATTACACACGACCACGGGGAGAGCATACAAACTCCAAATATACAGCAGGCATCAGGGTAGGGATGAAACTCACAACCCTCCTGGCATACCAGGCGAGGTAGTTACCTCCTATCCACCGTGGCACCCAAGCGGGAAAATTGGCGTGTGGTGATGGTGGTAAAGTGTGTGTGTGTGTTCCCACCTTTTCCAAGATGTCCGGCCAGCGCGGGAAGAGGAGGCCAAATACACAATATACAGGGGCTCCTCTTGAATGTTCTCTATTGAGAGGCTACCTTTTTACCTCTTGCCAGACCCATTACGCGCCCCTGCTTCCTAGGTGACACCAGAGGTTGCTAATCACAGTCACAACAGCGGGGTCACTTCCCTAGAAACCAGAGCCTTACCCAGAAGCAAACACAGCAGTAGAGCGGTGGGGGCGGTTGTCAATACTGAGCAGGATCTGGCAAAGTCGGGGCGAACAGGGACACCTAGAGCCTGACCAGACACGCACAGAGACCAAGATCCCTTCATTGAAGTCTCGTAGCCTGTTAGGGCAGGAACAGTGAAGCAAGCAACTTTTAAGGGCTGCATGGGGTACGTGGGGGGCGGTGCGGCTTGCACCGTACGTGGCCGCCTTGGTCTCCCCACTTCTGACGTGTGTACGCTGCACCTGTGATGTGTGTGTACGTTGAACTTCTTCCGCACCGTACGTAGCCAACCGAAGGACAACAAACCAAACACACGACTTGTGAGTGTTGAGGTACTGGACTTGAAAGGACTGGGGGACACCCAGGACCAGCTCCCCAGGTTCGTCGTGATGTGCGTTTACCACAAACACCACCAAAGGCTCAGAACGCACAGGTAAGACTCGAACCTGGCCGTACAGGCGAGTCCTTTCAAACGCCAAAGACCGGAGGACCAGGAGGCGTACAGGTGATGAGACCAGGTAGGTTATTTCTAGATTTGAAGCTTTCGTGACTGCAAGGATTCATACTCTTAGGTTTTTTCGGTAAAGTCACGTAGGTAAAAATAAATAAAAATAAAAATCTTTTAAATAAAATAATAAATCACGACGTTTCGGAGACAACACAAGTCTCCGTCATCAGGTGGGACCGTCACAGCTAAAATTTACTGTACGTAGATACCAGGTAGCCAAGGCCAGGTAACCCATACAATTCATGTTGAGACTTACAACCGGGCAGGAAATAAGGACAATATACAACCGAGCTCAGGTGAGAGAGACGCAGACCAACGCATTCGTGATGAACGCACATTAACCTGCGATGACACACGTGGAGCAGACACGTCGGGGGTATGAACGAAGAGAATGGAGGAGGGTGAAGCGTTTTCAGCAGAAGTATAGAACCCCTTTGCGTGCGCGCGTGTGTTTTAGTGTTTATTGTCCTTCCCGTGGAGTGTAAACATCGCCACTGGGGGAGACAAAGGCGGTCGGGCGTGGTGCTGGCCACCCCACCACCTCGTGCACAGCTCCGGCTCGCTAACAGCACTTGCCCCTACAGTCTGTTGATGCTACACGGGGGATTTTGTCTTTGTTGTCCATCCACCCCGCAGCTCCGTTTAGCTAGGTACGGTGCGAAAGAAGTTCAGCACACCACGTTGTGGATACACGAGGGGAGGGGGGTAATGCGACGTGGAGGATGGGAGGAAAGGATGATGTGGACACACGGGGGTCCAAGCATGTGGCATTTTCTTGCTGCGGTTGTCCCACCTGATGAAGATTGCTTGTGTTGCGATCGAAACGGGTTGATTTGTTTTATTTGATTTCTCCCTACGTGACTTTACCGAAAGAACCAAAGAGTATTGGCGTAGCCGTCAACCCGTGATATTTATTTTATTTTTATAAATTTTATTTTTTTACTTACGTGACTTTACCGAAAAAACCCAAGAATACGGTTCAACCCCTTATACTTGTGCAGGGAATTCGAGTTTGCAGGTCACATACGGCGGTACAGCTGTTTCGATACAGACGAAAAAAAACGTGTTTGTGTTTCTCTCTTGCGATGGGGTTTTGTATGATGAACGTTGAGATGAATAAGGCGCACGGGGGGTGACCGATACGGTGTGAATTGACCTGATAGCAAGGGGCTGACAGTGTCTGCGTGAGTAAGGGTGACAGCAGCCGGATAAATGGGAACGCGTCTGGATGGAATCCGCGAGGTAGCGGTGGGGAGGCCTTGATCCAGCAGCGGATAGACCCTGGCTGAAACATATTGATGACCATTGTGTAACCGGACGCGGGCTATGTGGCAATGCGTGACACACACTCTCACACAAACCTCGTTTAACAATCTCGTAGGCCTTGTAAGTGATCGAATTGAGAGAGAAAAAAGCTGAACGTTACTACGTTGACCAAGCGCTTCGTAGCGGCACCGGCTTTTTATTTTTAATCACTCGATCAACCCACCTCGCCAACACGGGCTCCTGCCGACGAGACGAGAGAGGCACCTTGAACCCGAACGACGACGACAACAACACCCGCCACCAACAACGGGCAGACCGTCGACAATTAACTTTGATTTGCTTTTTATAATTTACAAATTAAAATAAAACGAGGCCCACTCGGCATGGAGCGAGGCCTCCACTAGGCGAGCTCCGTGGCGGGACGCGCGCTTTTATAGAGTCAGCGCGAGGTGGGCGTGGTCAACTGGGACGCCGGTTCGCCTCGCCATTGGTCAGGATTCGTGACGTCGGCTGAGATGTTATTTAATTATATGCCACGCATCAATTATGAAGTTCGAGATTTGAAGCTTTCGTGACTGCAAGGATTCATACTCTTAGGTTTTTTCGGTAAAGTCACGTAGGTGAAATAATAAAAAATAAAAATTAATAATAAAAATAATAGAAATAATAATAGAAATAAAGAAAGATAAAAATTTGAAATAGAAAATTTTTTTAAATATTATTTATATTCTTTTTTTACCTACGTGACTTTACCGAAAAAAACCTAAGAGTAATTATGAAGTGTTGATGAAGCTGGTTGTGATTACTGGCGAAACGTCGTACTTAGATTGTAAATGTTGTGGCTTGGCTCTCCAACACACCGGTGGTGCTGTACTAGTATACTACACTATGCACTACACGACTATACACAATACACTACTATACACTACACTATACACTACACACTAGTGCTGCACTCGTGACGAATTGGCCACGTTCTGTTTACGTGACAACCCTTACTAGTTGGCTGTGTCGGGTGGTGGCGGGTTTTAATGACACATACTCTTTGGTTCTTTCGGTAAAGTCACCAGAGTATGGATTCCTGCAGTCACGAAAGCTTCAAATCTTTAACGACACATTTATATATTTACGCGATCTAACCCAAAAACCTCTATTATGCAGGATTTTTTTTTCAAAATGTATGTCATACTCTTGCCACAATAACGTGGAATTTCCACTACTGGCTTAAGACTTTGGCAAGAAACCCACTTTGACATATTTTGTAGGAGGCTGCAGAGAAATTATGCCACTCCCTGGCTCTATCTGTAGACCAGCGAGTGGTCTTCCCTCTCAGCGTTGACAAACTTGCTCCCGCCATACAAATATGGAATTTCCACTGATGCATTTGAGGTCACCAGCGGGGTTGTCCACGAACAAGCACCCCATGGTTCAATTGAAAAGGGAGACACTTAAATGTGTACTCAACATCAGTATATTATAAAAGAAAACATCGTAAGCAAGACATCATTAATTATAGATTTGAAGCTTTCGTGACTGCAAGGATTCATACTCTTAGTGACTTTACCGAAAGAACTACGAGTATAAGACATCATTACTCTTCACCATCGGTCATTATCCCCTACAGCGACGTGCCCTGCCTTGCCCATACTCGCGTTCATCAGCAGTTGAAACTATGCCAAATAGTTAAAAGGTAAAAATATGGAAAGGTACAGCCATGTAATATTGTTTTTTTTACTTATCCAGGAGATCTACACCGAGACGTATGACTCTTTTTGCAGGAAGGGTCCCCCTGCAGCTACATTGGGTTTTTTTTTAATTTTAAGATGTTTTCAACCAATTGCGATAGAGCGTGGGAAGAAACCGGGCCAACCAGAGAAAACCCACGTGCACAAGCGAGGTGGAAACTGCTCAGTGCCCTGTACAGATGGAAACCGATGGCGATTGATCCACTCGCTGTACCGCCATCTCCTGGTGATCCAGGGGTACGGCAGCCTCCTGGACGCCCACGGGACGGGGAGCTTCACAGCAACATCTGTGCGGTGATCCAGCAACTCTCCACGGTGCTGAATTACAGGCAGACCGAGTACAGCAACGTAGCCACCACCATGTCACTGGCTACACAGCAACGTAGCCACCACCATGTCACTGGCTACACAGCAGCGTAGCCACCACCATGTCACTGGCTACACAGCAGCGTGGCCACCACCATGTCACTGGCTACACAGCAGCGTGGCCACCACCATGTCACTGGCTACACAGCAGCGTAGCCACCACCATGTCACTGGCTACACAGCAGCGTAGCCACCACCATGTAACTGGCTACACAGCAGCGTGGCCACCACCATGTCACTGTCTACACAGCAGCGTGGCCACCACCATGTCACTGTCTACACAGCAGCGTGGCCACCACCATGTCACTGTCTACACAGCAGCGTAGCCACCACCATGTCACTGGCTACACAGCAGCGTGGCCACCACCATGTCACTGTCTACACAGCAGCGTGGCCACCACCATGTAACTGGCTACACAGCAGCGTGGCCACCACCATGTCACTGTCTACACAGCAGCGTGGCCACCACCATGTCACTGGCTACACAGCAGCGTAGCCACCACCATGTCACTGGCTACACAGCAGCGTGGCCACCACCATGTCACTGTCTACACAGCAGCGTGGCCACCACCATGTCACTGGCTACACAGCAGCGTAGCCACCACCATGTCACTGGCTACACAGCAGCGTGGCCACCACCATGTCACTGGCTACACAGCAGCGTGGCCACCACCATGTCACTGTCTACACAGCAGCGTAGCCACCACCATGTCACTGGCTACACAGCAGCGTGGCCACCACCATGTCACTGGCTACACAGCAGCGTGGCCACCACCATGTCACTGGGTACACAGCAGCGTGGCCACCACCATGTCACTGGCTGCACAGCAGCGTAGCCACCACCATGTCACTGGCTACACAGCAGCGTGGCCACCACCATGTCACTGTCTACACAGCAGCGTAGCCACCACCATGTCACTGGCTACACAGCAGCGTAGCCACCACCATGTCACTGGCTACACAGCAGCGTAGCCACCACCATGTCACTGGCTACACAGCAGCGTAGCCACCACCATGTCACTGGCTACACAGCAGCGTAGCCACCACCGTGTCACTGGCTACACAGCAGCGTGGCCACCACCATGTCACTGGCTACACAGCAGCGTAGCCACCACCATGTCACTGGCTACACAGCAGCGTAGCCACCACCATGTCACTGGCTACACAGCAGCGTGGCCACCACTATGTAACTGGCTACACAGCAGCGTGGCCACCACCATGTCACTGGCTACACAGCAGCGTGGCCACCACTATGTCACTGGCTACACAGCAGCGTGGCCACCACCATGTCACTGGCTACACAGCAGCGTGGCCACCACCATGTCACTGGCTACACAGCAGCGTAGCCACCACCATGTCACTGGCTACACAGCAGCGTGGCCACCACCATGTCACTGGCTACACAGCAGCGTGGCCACCACCATGTCACTGGCTACACAGCAGCGTGGCCACCACCATGTCACTGGCTACACAGCAGCGTGGCCACCACCATGTCACTGGCTACACAGCAGCGTGGCCACCACTATGTCACTGGCTACACAGCAGCGTGGCCACCACCATGTCACTGGCTACACAGCAGCGTGGCCACCACCATGTCACTGGCTACACAGCAGCGTGGCCACCACCATGTCACTGGCTACACAGCAGCGTGGCCACCACCATGTCACTGGCTACACAGCAGCGTGGCCACCACCATGTCACTGGCTACACAGCAGCGTAGCCACCACCATGTCACTGGCTACACAGCAGCGTAGCCACCACCATGTCACTGGCTACACAGCAGCGTGGCCACCACCATGTCACTGGCTACACAGCAGCGTAGCCAGTTACATTGTTTTTATAGCTTTATTTTGGTGATTTTGAAAACGTTTCAGTTTAGCCATGTTTCTAGATTTGAAGTTTTCGTGACTGCAAGGATTAATACTCTTTGGTTTTTTCGGTAAAGTCACGTAGGTAAAAAATAAAATAAATGAAAACAACTCAATTAAATCACGACGTTTGAAGGCAACACAACGGAGGCTTGTGTTGCCTTCGAAACGTCGTGATTTAATTTATTTATTTTAATTTATTTTATGTTTTACCTACGTAACTTTACCGAAAAAACCAAAGAGTATTAGCCATGTGTGTTTGTTGTAGTACAGAGTTAGCCTGATAACTTTAAGCTGCATTGTCTTACGGTTATTATTGTTTGACTTGCATCCCACTGCGATTTTTTCACACAGCGTTGAAATGCGGTGCTTTTTCCCGGAAGACTTTGCTGTTTTTTCCAGGATTTTTCTGTTTGCGCGTAGCTACTTTAAGATGTTTCTTGTTCATGTTGTTGTTTTGTTGCGGTTGCACCCGAGTCAAGAGCCGCATGGCTCACAGGGTCATACCTAATACATGAAACTGAAACTACCAAAGTACTGCCCGGCGCACGCAACTGCTGGCGTTAGGGGGGCACCGCTAGGAAGGAGCGGCACTTGGCCTACACTTCCACCGCTGCTCAGACGTCTTTGGAAGAGGTGGAAGAACCCGACCTGCTGGTGGACTCACTCTGGAATACCCATTTATACTGCTGGGTGGACACAGGTGGTGGTGGGGGCTAGGAGTTAGGAATCGTGCCCATGTTTCTACTGCCGCGCCGGGAGGTCGTATAGCACCAGCGGCCTCTGCATTGCAAGTCAGCATGTTGAACATTGCACACACGGGCGATAACCTCGAGACAGTATATTCTATTAGCAAATCATCACGATATGGGAAAAACCTCTGAAATGGCAATATACTTATCTGAGTGTGGCGTGGCATTAGAGATGATAACGCGTTAGGAGGGTGGGGGGCGGTGTGTGGGAGGTCCCGTGATACCCTCGCCATGGTGGTCCAGTCCAAGTCCCAGGGATAAACGGGGGTCGGCTCCTCCTCTGCTCCATCTCGTCGTCTCCACTCCCCTCCTCCAACCCTCTCAACTTGGTTTCGCCGGCTGAGTCGCTAGGATCATCTGTGGAAGCTCCGCAACGGTGGTTGAACGCTGAACCACCACCAGTCCATCATCTCCATCCTCTTCCCCATCCAATCCTGCCCGACCACCTCGATCACCTCCTATTCCTCCAGCCCCTGCCCCTGCCCCCCCACCAAAAAGAGATCAACATCTCTCCATCAACATCACCATCACTGGCATCAGCATCGGCAAACGCGTCCAGTCCTGCCATGGTGGTAGGAGGCGGAGGTGAGACAGAGCGGTTGACACAGAGACAGATATCAGATGTGCGGGATGATGTGCGTGCGTGATGCTGTGCATGCGTGCGTGTACGATGCTGTGTGTGTGTGGTACTCTGTATACATGTGTGATGCTGCGTATGTGCGTGGTATTGCGTGTATGTGTATCTTTGTCTTTGCATGGATGTGTGCATGCATGCGATTCAAAATGTGCGTACGCGTGCTGGTGTGTGTGGTTGATGATGTGAGTGCATGCGTGTCATAAAGAGCTGTCGGCTAACCGGCACTTGCCCCAACAGTCTGTGAAATACTACAGGGGGATCTTTATCTTTTGTATGCATGATGTATGTGTGTGTGCAACGCTGTGTGATGATACTGTGTATGTGTGCAAGTGTGTGTGTGTCGTGGTGTGCAATTGTGTGTGAGTGTAGCGGTTAGCGCTACGCTGCGCTACGAACCCGGCTACCCGAGTTCGATTCCCGCTCACGGCCAACACCAGTGACGATTATCTGAACCAGTCCTGGGCATCCCCTAGGTCGACTCAGCCTCAAATGAGTACCTGTTGCTGTGTGTAAACATTGCCACTGGGGAGACAAAGGCGGCCGGGCGTGGTTGGTGGCCATACGCGTCCGTTATCCAGCACCGTGGAGGCGAGGGTGGTGGATCACACACACACACACACACGGTTTAGAAACTCCATTTCCCGTTGGGCGTCGAGGTGCAATAGAGAATGCGAGACAACTACTGTGGACTAATACCATCTGTTCCATCTGCGTGGGATGGCGTGTCGCACTCTACTCCCCTCCGTGCATTCTCTCCCCCCCCCACTCTCCCATCTCGCTCTCCTCCCATCCACTCTCTCCTACCTCTTCCACTCTCATCTCACTCGACAACGCCAGTCAGTCCGTCCCCCAGCCACCCGTGCTGTCGACTCTCCTACCCCCTGTTGATGGAGACTGCACATCTTCGTTCATGTCCCTCTGCCTAGAACCGAGCGCCTATATAAAATAAACACACCCACTGTCCCCTGTACAAGCATCTTGACATGCGGTTGCTTCTAGACGCTGTATGCATCCACACTGCATGATGCCGGGTGTATGGTCTATATGCGTGCGTGATGCTGCGTATTGGTTTAGCCCACTGCTAACGAGACCACCTGAGTTCGATCATCGGCCGCGGCTAACATGATGGGTCAGTGATATATGGACCAGTCGCGGGCCTCCCCTCGGTCGACTCAGCCTTAAATGAGTAGCTGGTGCGGCGTGTCAAATCATCAGCACCGGGGAGACAAAGGCGACCTGGCGGTGTGCTGACCACTCCACCTCATCGCACCGTGCCAACCTCAGTTGGTGTCTGTAGAAAGTGCACGACCCGGTTGTACCGCGTATTTTCACCATGGTGTCCGACGTTTCGCTCCACTCCACGTGCTTTGACCTTCTTCAGGAACTGCCTGGTAAGCAATAGGGGTAGTGGGCGGAATGGGTGAAGGAAGGGGCCATAGAACTTCGGGGTTGAATCCTGGGGTCAGGTTGGCACGGTGCGCGATGGGCACGGCACGAGAGAGTGGCATCTTCCTTAATCCGCAGCGTCGGCAGCGTCAATTAGCGGTGTCAATTAGCCCATCAATTAGCGTTTTAGCTTAATATGCCAGTTCCCTCCTGATTACGGATCGCGCCAGACTTGACACGACGCGTGTGTGGGTGCGTTCTGTGCACACGCGTGTTTGTTTGTGTGTGCGTGGCGGGGGAGCGGCGGCGTAGTGGTTAGCACACTACGCTCTCAACCCGGCGACCCGAGGGTCGATTTCAGCTCACAGCGTCGAGAATCTGAATCGCTCGGAGGTCGACTCAGCCTGCATCCTGGGTCGACTTAGCTGGACGCCGCCAAGCCCCTCGTGTGCCGTGCCCGCCTTAATAGATGCTCGCTAACAGGACTTGCTCCAAGTCCTGTGACGGTGAACCTATGTCTTTACACATGCGCATTTGTATTTACGTTCGCGTAATCTGTATATGCAGCGTGTGTGTGCTGTGCGTTAGTGGGGAGCGGTAGCGGCTAGCACGCTGCGCTACGAACCAGGCGACCCGAGTTCGATTCCCGCTCACGGCCAACACCGGTGACGATTATTTGAACTGGTCCTGGGCCTCCCCGAGGTTGACTCAGCCTCAAATGAGTACCTGGTGCGATGTGTAAACATCGCCACTAGGGAGACAAAGGCGGTCAGGCGTGGTGTTGGCCACTCATCCTCTCGTCTGCCGTGCCAGCTTTTATAAGTGCTCACTAACAGCACTTGCCTCTACAGTCTGTTAAGGCTACACGGGGGATCTTTGTCTTTTTGTGCATTAGTTGCAATGTGCGTTTCATGGAATATAAATATTTATAACAATAGTGTCAGCCCTTTATCTATCCACTGTTGAATGGAGGCATCCCAACACCGTCAGTAGTGGGGTTAGGGGGGGGGAGACGGGAGTTGTTTGACCATACTTCATCACGCTGGTCATTGCGGGTTGGTTAAGGATAGGCGTGGTGGTAGGGAGCGGACGATGGATGGACAGTGTCATGTATATCACTCGCCACTGATGTCACCCGCATTATGCTCCTTTATAGTAGCGCCGTACTCAAATTATACATATACACACACAGTATATACACACACCCGAGTGTATCCTGCATACGGAACCTATATAATACGTGCATTGTCACAGGCTCACTCTGCATGTCCTATTCAGTCGTGATATCAACAATGCCATCGTTACCCAGAAAAGCCTCACCGACTCCCAATTGGGATCTGTGGCCAATTCCATGAATTCAAGGTTTTGGTTTCGTTCGAGAGGAAACCGGAGTACCCGGGGAAATAAAGATATTGAACAAAAAAACAACCCTGCAAGCTTTTTTTGCACGGATAGATGCCATAATCTATTGCTGTAGAGCCATCTGCAGGCTACCTTGCAGCCCGAGACGAGAACACTCGATATTTCCAGACGGTCTCCCGTCAAAGAACTCGCCAGGCCCAAGCGCAGTACACATGGAACGTTGGGCCAACGTTGACCCAAACATTGGTCGGACTTTCCTTAATTACTGGGAGCCCGTTTAAGCTTCCGAGATGAGACGAGATCGGGCACATTTGGGGTGTTTCGGTTGTCCATGGATAGAAAATCTCCTTTCGGGGGGGGGGGGGGGGGGTTGACGCGAGATGTGACCTTGGTTTGAGGAAATGAATGAAAACGAATTCAAACAAGTGGCTACAATTGTGTGGCATGCACATTGGCTGAGCTGCACTGCGCTACGGACCCGGCGACCTGACCTCGAGTCCGCGGCACGGCTAACATCAGTGGCTCGTGAGAGTTCAACCGCTGCTGGGTGCCCCCCCTCCCCTCCATGCACAAACCCGCACTACCCAGCGTGGTGAAGTATGGTCAAACGATCCCATGGCCTGGAAAGTCGATGGGCAAACACGTCTTGTATTTATATGTTCACAGAAGTGAAGTCTGTCTCTGGTTACTCTCAGCCCCAAATCAGAATCGCTGGGTTTACAGTGCAGTGCGCTAACCGCTGCGCCACAGCTCCAGTTCAAACTACTTAGGTGTTTCTGAACCCATATACTTGAGTTCTATTCCTGATTACGGCTGAAGTTCGTGGCACGTGACATCTGAACCACGTCCCCCTCTCCTTCTCCACCACCCCTGACCAGTGCGGTGAAGTAAGATCAAACACAACCCCCGTGGCCCACATGGCGTGCAGGAGGCATTCATTCAGCAGTGGAATAACAAAGGGATGAACATTCGGTCTATGATACAGTGTTTAATGGGCCCCTGCTGTCCCGTGTTACGCAATGACAACGCGCACAGATCAATGGCTCCAGCGATATTGATCGTGGCTGCGCGTCGATAATTACATAAAGCACCTCTGGATCTAACATCCTCAGTCTGTTGGTCTTTGCTAATCCCCGCGAAGGATATTTCAGATTCACGATCTGTTAATCCACATCCACCGTCCTACCTTCATCTTCGGGAAACTGCGGCGGTAGTGGTGACCCCAGGTCACTCTTGCAAACGAGACTCATTCCTGATCTCCTGGATTCCCACCTGGCTAAACCACACTAACTTGACCTTGAATTTTAGCCAGATGAAACCGGCACACTGTGATTCGATTGTCCAACTTCTGCCGAAAATCAAACGGTCACAACGTTGAACCTCGCGGGACTGGTGATGTCAGAGAGCTACCGAGTGTGCAATGGTTCGTTCGCCAGAAGTAACCCGTTCTAATCGATCTCCCGGCACGGAAATTTAAACAATGGGGCACGTTTATTATACCGTCCCCACCCCCTCGCCTGCTCTTTCTCTCTCTCTACCCATCAGTATACGTGGGGTAAAGTGTGGGGTAAAGTGTGGGTACTCTCCCCCCCCCCCCAGCTACCACCACCACTTCCAAGATGTGTAGCCAGCAGGATAAAATGGGCCCAAATAACCTCGAGTGAAACGCCAGAGGTGGTGTGAGTAGGGCATTGCAAGGCTGAGCCTTTACCTCGTGCGTTCTGAACAACCACGGCGCGTCTGTTTATAATGAGCTCCCCCGTGGTGTCGAGGAAGTGAAACTCTAATCATGGATTTACTCTCCTGAGGATTCGGCGAATCGTGACGATTCTGGGCCGCGAATTGATTCGACTCTGATCTAAGTGGGTTTTTTTCACCGTTTCGTAATTTGTCCCGTTTTTCTATCTTCCTCGTTTGTACAGTTTTGTTTGCTCCGTTATCCTAAATGTAACGTTATCATATAATTTGCGTACGATGTGCACACGCGTGCTTGTATGCAATGTGGCACGCATATCATTTTGTATATCGTCATTCATCCATTTTCTGAGACGCACACTTTCGACGCATGTATCGTGAACGCGATCACTGCATCCGTTTTTTTCTCCCACATGTAAACACTCATTGATTGGCCGATAAGAGAGAGACAACGGTAGCCCAGTTTCGCCGTTATTCGGACTCGTCGGTGCAGTATGGTTACCAATTTTCACTGCTGCCAAGTCTCCATCCGGGCCACTGATCAGTGGAGACTTCAGCACCTTGGACAGCGACTTAAGACTCAGGCGGACAAGTTTAACAAATCAAAGGCCTCTTTCCATGACGATTCACCGTTATGATTACTTTAATTCACAGCCTCTCACGTCTTCTTTGGTGACCTTAAGCCAGTGGCGGAAATTGCACAATCCCATGACGGGGGCAGGTATATCCATTCGACCACCACTGGTTGCTCATTTGAGCGATACCGTGGAGGGATGATGGTAGTGGTTGTGATCGTGATGATTAAATTTACAACCTTTCGATTTTAAATCAAGCTCTCCATTCATGCTCTAGTGGGCGGGAGGTCGCTCATTCTCCTCTGTTGTCCCCAATGTCTGAAACTCCCCCCCCCCTAACAAACATCCGTGCTGTGGACTCCCTGTTCAAGGCATTGCCCAAGAGCTTCTTAATTTTCTCTGCCGATGTCTGGCTGCATCCCTGTCTCTTAGAAGCAATTATGTTGGGCGGCAGGGTGGCAACACGTGTGCCTTATAGCAAGAAGGGCTTGGGTTCGGTTCCCTGTTCTGCGTGGCTTCCCTCCGGGTTCTCACGGCTTCCTCCCGTAGCCAACAGATACGTACACAACGAAACTGGCGTCGATCAAACGTCCCAATGCAGGACCCTCCAGACAAATAGGCTTCAGATTCACGCTGGCTCTCCTGGGTAAATAAATCATCATCATTAGTTTCGCTACGTTCACTGTTTTCCGAACGGCGTCTTGAGACACGGATGTATTCGGACGCCGCTATATGAAGCCACGCGGTTTTGCGGGTCCCTATAAGCGCCACTGTATGGGTGTCCACGTGACTTCACGCGCGAGGCACCGAGGGCTCTCCACTGGAGATATTTTCCAGGTCTCACCTGTACAACCACTCCCCCTCCCCATCCTCCCCAAGGTCATTCACGTGTGCTTGGTCTCACCGTCACCCTGGAAACACGGGCGCACCAATTACTGTTACTGGCTGCCCCGTGCTGCTGCCCTGGATCTGGGGGAGGATGGGGGAGGGAGTGATGAAGCGTACCACTGCAAATCTGGCGACGTGCGGTCCGGAATTGGTGGATCAGGCTGTAATGACTCCTAATAAATGTGAATTGTAGTCACTTTAACGTATGCATTGCTGTTTGCAAACGAGCAAATTGGGGTGGGGTCGATTATTAAGGGGTGACGAGTTTGATGATTTATCTCCTCCCCGGGCTCGCCACAAACGCCACGTGTTGCTTCTATTGTACCAGCACCACGGGTTTGGTGTTGCGTGTGATGGTGTGTTATGGGCTGGTGTGTCATGGGCTGGTCTGTTATGGCATGACTTGTCACGAGCTAGCGTTTCATGGACTGGTGTGCCGTATTACGGTGTGTTGGTATACCATGGGTGTGGACCACAACGGGTGTGGACTACGATGTCATGGGATGAGATTGATGTGGCATGGGCTGCTATGCAATGGGCCCCGTGTGCAGTTGGATTGGGCCGGTGTGCCGTTGCTTACTGTGTGACGGGACCACGCACTGCTGCTAGCTGGAACGCTCCGGGCTGGGTTGCTGCTGTCGCAAGGGCCGCTGTGAGACGGGCTGGCACGGGGCCTCTTTATCACTCCATCAGACTGTACAACTGAGAAATCGGATGGATGTGACTCATGAATATTTGAACGTGGGGACGAACCAAGACAAATCTTGACTGCGGGGGCGGGGGTGCAGAGAGCAAGGCACGCGGGGTGGGTGGGACGCAGAGGCGGGGAATTGAGTCTCACCCCCGTGATTGAATAGAGCAGTCCAATATGAGAATTTAAAATAGTTTATTATTATTATTACACGCTTTTTTATTAACTCACTCTGTTGTTGTTGTCGTTGTATCCTCAAATCTTGTGACTCAATTTTAACACACTTCCCAATGTGGTATCGACTGCAGACTTGGTATACTTATGTCATACTGATGACAATACTATATTCTATCATAATTTTTTTTACAAAGTATACATTTTTAAACATTATTTTTGAAATGTTATGTTTCGGCTTGGGTCTAATTGTCCACGCTCAACTAACGTTGGCTGTAAATCACCACGGTCCCTTACGTTACGGCAAGCTTCGGGGCCACTTCCTGGAGTCGTGGAGTTCTGCCATTACTAGTACATTTCATTAAAGCGTGTTTAATTTTTAGCTTTTCAAAATATTACTTATTTAGCTGGAGAGGAGGAGGCTCGGGCAGGCGGAGCGGAGGGAGGAGGAGGAGAGTGGGGGGGTGTGGGCAGTAATCGGGGTGGGGGGGGGGTGTGGTTTAGGGGCGGGGCGGGAGGGGTTTCCAGCCGGCGGCGTTCCGCCTTGCCAAGGTAGTTGTTATGCTCGCAGCGTGCGCGTTTACGTACGCGCGCGCACACGCACGCACTTACGCACGCTCGCTCGCTCGCTTGGACCTTGCGGTGACATCATCGTGCCAGGAGGGATAGAGAAGATGGAGGAGTGGGAAGCCGGGAGCAGAGGAAAGGTGTAACAGACAAGACAGCCGGACAGACAAGACAAGACGCGCATGCGGGCGGACGGGCGTGCGTGCGTGCGAGGAAGATGGAAACAGCCTCGGCAGAAATTAAAGATTAAGGGGATATTTGGGCAAAGCTCGCGTTGTGCTGCTACGCCTCCCATCCTGCCCGCCGCTCTGGACGCAAGGAAGATCGCCACTCCCGGAAACTGGTCCAAGACCCCCCCGGGCTCGCCGGCACATTTGAGATTAAGGACACACGCCCGCCCATAGAGAGAGAGAGAGACAGACAGACACACAGAGAGACAACACTCACGGAGGCGCAGCTGCTGAGCTTAACGTGGGCGGGACGCTTGGGTGTGCAGCGCGGTTAAACCCTCGTCATCATGAAGAGGCTCATTTGCAAGAAGATCTGCTCCTGTGAGTTGCACGGCGACACGCGCATGTACACATCAGTTTCGTGCTTGTAGCGATTGTAATTTTTTTTAGAATTTCTTTACGTTGAATGTTGTTTCTTGACGACGCGGAGAGAACGGAGATTTGCAATCGGTCGCAACGGCGTGGGACAAACTTAGGTGGTGATTTTCAGTGCGGGCTAAGGGGTCCCCACCCCCCATTAATTTGACGGCAGGTGTGGCACAGACGTGACGGCCGCAGCGGGGGAGCTGTGGCAATGGACCACATCTGGTGTGAGGAATTACAGGGGGAGTGGGGGCAGGGTGGGGGAACCCAAAATTAATTATACATTTTGCATTTAAATACAATGGCAAAGCCACGTGGAAAATGGATGCAGCTGCCCAAATCGTGGCCGTGCGTCAACTCGCCGTACATAGTTAAATTAACTCAACACTGTGGTTAACGAAACGTGAAAAGAATGGCTTTTATTTACAAGTAATTTATCTATAACTGGCTCACAAAGATCGTAGTGGGCCGGGATCAGACAGGGCGATAATGTTGTCTGCCCACCACTTTATTCTTAAAGTTGAAAATTATTGAGTATTTTTTCAGCCCGTCGTCAATCAACTGCTGGATGAATGACTACCCATGCTGGGCCTGTCGGGGGGATTGTGTGACCATACTTCACCACGCTGGTCAATGCGGGCTCGTGAAGGGGGTGACCAAGACCGGTTCAGATACTACTCGCCACTGACATTGGTTATGGCCGGGAGGTTTACAGGACGGTCCATGAACCACCGTGTCCCATGACCACAACACGTTTTTATGTACAGTACAGAATATACTTAAAACATTTCTTGGGTTATCAGAATATTCCTTCCGCAGGCTATTAAGGCTACCAACAGTAGGGCTGGGCCAAATTAACTTGAGCCAAGTTCACCCACAGACCAAATCACGATGGGACGCACTTGATCCTGTGAAGTTAAGCAGGCCTGAGACGGGTTCGTACGAGGGTGGGTGACCAACGGGGCCAGGTGTTGTGTCGGCTTAGGCTGCGAGGAGGCTGGAAGCCGTCAGTTGCCCCCTCGTATGCCTGGTGGATTCTCTCCGGGTCCTCCAGTCTCCTCTCAAAACGGAACCAAACTCTCATTCGTTACATTCATGGATAACACATCCCAATGCAGCAGACCCCTACTGAAAAAAGAAAAAGTCACTGAGACTCAGTGAGCATTGCCTAGGAAAACGACATTTCATACGATGAGGATATTTTTTGCGTGCGGTAATTATTGTGGTGGACCTAAGACATTCAGCCGTGTCACCTTGTATAACAACACTATTGTGGTGGCGACCGAGGTGGGATTTGAACCCAGAATGTTCAGCCGAAGTCGTTGAACCCAACCTCGGTGTCTCGAAATGGCCATTATGAGCCTTCCTGTTGCCACTTAGCCATCTTTAATGGGTTTGTGGGCCCCAGTGGAGGAGGTCGGCTGCTGAAACCAGGGTTGGTTTTTAATGGCAGAGTAATCGACAGGATGTAATGGTTAGCGCACTGGACTTGCAATAGAGAAATCGCCAGTTTCACAGGATTTCCCGGCGCGGCAGTTGGGATGACGGTGCAAGTTTCTTGAATCCCCTCTGCCACCTCTGTCCATCTGGCAGCATAATACATAAAGTACACCCTGGTTAGTCAAACGGGAAGGTAGGATGTGGTGGGGTAAAACGTGGGTACTCGCAGATTATATCCAACACCGCTGCCTGGTATGGAAGAGTAGGCCAAAATAACCTCCAGAGGGCCTCTCTAGGAGGACCTTCCACCAGCAGTGTCGTGAACAAGCAATTCCCAGAGGAATGTGGAATTTCCACTGAGGCCTGTAATCAACAAATGAGAACCACCCCCAGGCTAGTTAGACTATTAAAAAAACAAGAGATTGCTTGAAAATGTGACAAAAATTTCACATTCTCTCCATAGAACAGCACTATGCACACACACACATATACAGTGAGTCTACTGCATGTCGCTGTGGATTGATGATGTCAGCAGGGCCTGTGAGCAGCACGCGGCCTGGGGAGGCATTAGCGTGGGGGGGGGGGGGGGTATGGTGTGGTGGGTGGGGAAGGCTTGGTGTGGGGGGGGAGCTGTGATGGGTGAGCGGTACTCATGGAGTGGGCCCACGGCCAGCTGACGAGTCCCTGCCGCCTGTGACCACGTGGTGACACAATCCCGACGTTGTCGCATCCTCCTCAGCGAGCTGTGGTCCGCCACGAGGTTGTGCACTGCTCACTGCAACTGGCCGTGCTAAACCAAGCATATGGCTCCAAGTACCCCCTCCCTCCCTCCCGTATCCTGTCACCCACCCACCCAGTCCAGTGCTGTGCTCCCCGATACATTTACTAGCACCATGGACAGCGCCGTGGACGGCGTTATACGTGGCCACGTGTGTGCAGGGTTGCCATCCATCACCACTTTCATGTTTTGTACGTGCGTACGTTGAACTGCTTTCGCACCGTACGTAGCTAACCGTGCTAATCGGAGTGCCGTTTGTTGCTGACCGCTTGGCGTTCTTCGGCCTTTGGGCCACTGTGCTCTGCGACCGTGGAAAGAGCAAATCGGAATTGGGGGAGGTAAATTGCCGACATGGAGTGGCACTCAGAGAGGTCGTCGACCAGGGAGAAGACCTAAAGCCAGGCGGCGGACTCCGCTGCGAGATCTATACGGGAGGAAAGGACGCGATGGGCGAGGCGCGTGGCGGCGTGGGCTGTGGTGACCTATTGACCTTGACCTTTGCGCGGCCGTGGCCTATCTCTCCCCCCCGGCCAGACAAGGCACACGAGGAGGATGAGCCGGTGGAGGGAAAGGGAGCGCCGGGAGGCAAGGCCAGCCGCCGGGGCCCTGGGCAGGGAGGGGCAGGCCGCAGGCAGGGCCCCTGGTCGGCAAAGGCGGCCACAGGTACGGCGCACGGGGACCCGGCGTTACCCGGATGAGACGTACGCATGCACACAGGTGTAGCTACACAGGCACGCATGTATACAGAGGCAAAGATCTCCCGTATTGCCTTAACAGACTGTTGGGGAAAGTGCTGTTAGCACGACCGCCTTCGTCTCCCCAGTGGCGATGTTGACACACCACACCAGGTACTCATTTGAGGCTGAGTCGACCTAAGTGAGGCCCAGGACCGGTTCAGATATTTGTCACTGGTGTTGGTGGCCATGAGCGGGAATGAAACTTGGGTTGCCTGGTTCGTGTCTCTGTTTGTGTCTCACCTGCATCCATCTCCGTGTCTCTCCATGGCGTCCCCGCATCTCCTTGTCTCCTTGTCTTTTCATATCCCCGTGCATCCATCTAACACCCGTCCGTGTCTCCGTGTCTCTCCATGGCGTCCCCGTGTCTCCGGCCCAGGGCGGGAGGGTGCTGGAGCGGTGGATGAGGAAGACTTCACCAAGGCGTTTGAGGACGTCCCCTCCGTGCAGGTAAGAGCGCGCCGGACGTCTGAGAACAAACTAAACTATGAACACATTTTTTTTTTTTACAGGGAAAGTACCCCTGAGCTATGTAGCTCTTTTTTCAGAAGCGACCTGGCCACGAATGATAGCTCTCAACGAAGTGGCTTATCGCGTGGAGAACAAATACTCTGAGCGCACGTTCATTCTAAATGTGGAGAGAAAACCCGGAGGAACCGGAGAAAAATCCACGCGACCACGGGGAGAGACGTGCAATCTCCAAATATACAGCAGCAGGCGTCAGGGTCGGGATCGAGCCCACGACCTCCTGCATACCAGGCGAGGGAGTTAACATCTCCTAGCCACCGCGGCGTCCTCGCCACAAGCTGGCAAGCCAGTCCATCGAGGGAGCCTCCGCCCTTGTTAGAAGACTCTCCGTGCACAGAAATGCATTGCGCAGTGGCGGTGGCTCAGAGGGTCAGAGTGCGAAGCCGGCACGGATGAGACCCTGGGTTCGAATCCGGGTGCTAGCTACTGGTTAAACCTGCTTCTCACGTGCAGTGAGTCGATGGTCTCGGCCTGGTCACCGAGGACTGTACGAACAACTCCTCATAATGAACATGATTTATTTCTCAGTTATGGATGCATTCCAGCTATTGGAATTAAACGCTTTGGTTCTTTTTCTCAACAATCCGTCCTCCTCCTCTCCCTTAGAGATTTTTCCGATATCCATCTCATCATCCTCATTGCTGCCCTTCCGCGTCCCTGCGCCACGTAGCCGCTCAAATCGTCCCCGTGTCCCCACGCGCCACCAGAAGACGCAAAGCACCGCTGTCCAAATTTGCCGAATATGAATATTACCCGCAAATTACTCGATTATACATCGCAATCATCGCCCTCCCCCCCCGCCCCCCCCCCCTCACTGGCCGACTAATGCCCCAGGTCACACGCCCAGATCAATGGTGTGCTGTCGATATCGAGCGTGCGTGCGTGTCTGTAATTTCATAGAGCGCCTCTGGGTCCCACATTCCCACAGTCTGTAGGTCTCTGCTCAGTGCCCAATGGTGGATATTTCAGATTCTCAATCTGGGAATCCACACCGTCGTCGGGGGAAAGTCGGACGAACACGACATTCTGCGGTCGTACGGGCGCGCTGTTTGGCACGGTGTCCGACGTTTCGCTCCGCGTTCCGGGAGCTTCTGCAGGAACTGAAGCTCGAGTGGTGATGTATTGCAGCGTTTAAACAAAACGAACTCGAGCCTTGCGTCTCCCCGCAGATCTATTCCAACCGCGACCTCGAGGACGCCATGAGTAAGATCCGAGACATCCTGTCGGACGACAAGCACGACTGGGAGCAGCGCGTGGCCGCCGTGAGTGACCGAGCCACACGCGGCACCTTCACAGCAGTTCCACGGGACTAGTGGTGTAGCTACGGAGTGCCCAAGCCTCCCCCATGGGCCGGAGGGGCCCAAGCACTGGGCTGTGAAGGGCGGTGGGTGGGGTCGGAGGTGGAGGCAGAATTGGACAGTGGTGGGCCTCATTTCATTCATTGCACCAGGGCACATGACAATTGATCCCGAGCATTCCCTAGGTCCACTCAGCCTTAACTGAATACCTGCTGCGGTGTGCATACATCGCCACTGGGAATACAACCTACGTGCGCGCCGCGCCGTTCATTTTAAAAGGTGCCCCGCTAACAGCGCTCTGGCCCAAACAGCATCCCGTTGAAGGTTACACGGGGGGGACCTTCGTCTTTGATCTTTCCTCACCTGCGCCGGGCCCCTGCAGGTGAGGGAGGTCCGCTCGCTGCTCGTGGCCGGAGCCATCAAGCACGAGGGCTTCCTGCAGCAGCTGCGGCTCATGGACCCGGCGCTCAAGCTGAGCGTGCGTGACCTCCGCTCGCAGGTCGTGCGCGAGACCTGCATCACGCTCGCGTGAGTCGCCACGGCGCTCTCGTCGTCCTTGTCGTCAATGACGTCATCGGCCTTATTATCACAATAATAATGAGGCGCCCATTAGCACGGTTGGCTAATTACGGCACGGCAGCGTGCGTACGTGCATCGTCGTCGTCAATGTCACCTTGGTTGTCCTCGCCGCCATCGTCGTCATTGGCGTCATCGTCGCTCTCATCATCAACATTGTCGTTGTTGTTATCAGCATCATCAACATTGTTGTTGTTGTTGTTGTCAGCATCATTAACATTGTTGTTGTTGTCAGCATCATCAACATTGTTGTTGTTGTTGTCAGCATCGTCGGCACTGACGTGCGAGATGCGCGAGTCGCGCCGGTATCTTAATCTTTGTTCTCATCATCCTCATCGTCGTCGTCATCAATATCATCATCATCACTGTCATCATCATTGGCATCATCAGCATCATCATCCACAACAAAATCAACACCACCATCACCAGTTACAATGATCACCCTCCACACCACCATCATCAATATTGCAATCACCAACGCTAACGTGGGCATGTCGGTCACTGCCATTGTGTATGTGTGTATGTGTGTAGTGACTACACATGCATGCACTACCACTCCCCCACTACACATGCATGCATGCATGTGTAGTGGGGAGTGGTAGTTCAGGGAGTGGTAGTTCAGTGGTTAGTGCACTCTGCTACGAACCTGGAGACTCAAGTTCGATTCCCACTCACGTCCAACACCGGTGAAAATTATCTGAACCGGTCCTGAGCCTCCCCTAGGTCGACTCAGCCCCAAATGAGTACCTGGTGCGATGTGTAAACATCGCCACTGGGGAGACAAAGGCGGCTGGGCGTGGTGCTGGCCACCCACCACCTTGTGTGCCGTGCCCGCCTTCATAGGTGCTGCTCGCTAACAGCACTTGCCCCGACGGTCCCTTGAAGGCTATGCGGGGGATCTTTGTTTTGTGCACGTGTGCGGGGCGACGCAGGTACCTGTCGGCGTTGCTGCGGAACAAGTTTGAGTTCACGGCGGAGGCGGTGCTGACCGGGCTGTTTGCGCTCGTGCCGAATAGCGCCAAGGTCATGGCCACGTCCGGGCTCGTGGCGATCCGGCTCATCCTCAAGGTACAAAAGGCAAAGATGCCCCCGGAGAGAGCCTTCAAAAGGCCGTAGCAGCAAGTGCCGTGAGTGAGCAGCACCTACGAAGGCCGGCACGGCACACGAGCTGGTGGGGTGGCCAGCACCGTGCCCGGCCACCCTTGTCTCCCGAGTCTACAGACCGTTGCCAGCTACTTATTTGAGGCGAAGTCGACCTAGGGGAGGCCCTGGACCGGTTCACACACACACACACATATTTTACAACAAAGACAAATATCCCCCATGTAGCCTCAACAAACTGTTGGCGTAAAGTGCTGTTAGCGAGGTGGCCACGAGGCGGTGGATAGCGCTACCTCCTCGCACCCGTTGGGTTTCTCCATCATCTAAACCACGGTTGTTCTTCACTCGTTTTGAGAGCTCGCCGATAGGACATCATCGGTGTGTGAAGAGGGCCGCCGCACATTTGAAACCACTGGGGTTTGACAGCACCATGGGATGCATTGTCGGGGAGGCCGCACGTTAGAAGCCGCACTAAAGGCCACCATACATTGCCCGATAACGCCTTGATATATAGAGGATCGCAGAGCTTGGGCAATCATTGGTGGCTCAGGGCTCCTCACCGCCGCATTGCTTCTCCTCATGCCGCCTACGAGTCGTCCTCTCTCTTCGAGAGCGAGCGAGCACTGTGCGGCGGTTGCGGTAGCACGGAGAGAGAACACGCAAACTCCAACTATACAAGCGTAAGGGTCGGGATCGAACTCACGACCTCCTGTATACCAGACGAGGTAGTTGATATCTCACTACCGTGGCTGCGGGCAGAAATCGTTGTTGTTATTGCACCGACCGCAGTGTCTGTGTGTGTGTCTGTGTGTGTCTGTGTGTGTGCCTGTGTGTGTCTGTGTGTGTGCGCACAGAACACGCACGCTCCGCGCCTCACCCCCATCGTCTGCTCCAACGCCGCCTCCAAGGCCGTGTCGGTGCGCAGGTGAGAGCAGCAGGCGACAGGCGAAGTGGACTCGGAAACAAACAACAACAACAACGAGGCTGATTGATCTCAAGCCAGATTTGAGCTTTCAGATGAACTTCACTCAATTGTTCCGTGCATTCTGACCTCCTGGATTGTTCTTCTGACTTCCTGGAGCGTAGCCTCAGTAAATTTGACGTAGCTTCAAACGAAACGTTGTGACGCTCATCGCCAAAGTTAGGAGGATTGCGTGGAGTGGTGGAGGATTCATAATGGACGCTAATTTGGTCGGATCACTACGCGGGCAATTATGAATCGTAACATTGGCTGAGAAAACCTTTTTTTTGTTAAATTGTCGAGACTGTTTCGTTATCACTTTCTAACCTGATCGCGTAAATATAAATGTTGTGTCGTTAAACCCGCCACCACTCGGCACAGCCAATTACTAAGGTTTGTCACGTAAACAAAGCATGCCAAATTCGTATTGGAGAGTAAACCTACTACAACATTTACAATTCGAGTACCGTAACGTTTCGCCGGTAATCACAACCAGCACCATCAGGCGACGGCCAGAGTCATGGAGAAAAGCTCCTCCTGTTTAATTTATATTTACACGATCTATCCCAAAAACCTCTGTTATGGATAATATTGGTCGCGAAAGCCTACGTGTTAATATTCTTAGGTTTTTCGGTAAAGTCACGTAGGTAAAAATTAAATTAATAAAAGTAAAATAAAACAAAATAAAAAATCACGACGTTACTTGATACAGCTGTCGTGGCTGTGACGGTTCCACCTGAAGACGGAGGCTTGTGTTGCTTCCGAAACGTCGTGATTTTTTATTTTGTTTTATTTTACTTTTATTAATTTAAATTTTTTACCTACGTGACTTTACCGAAAAACCTAAGAATATGAATCCTTGCAGTCACGAAAGCTTCAAATCTAGAACCTACGTGTTAAACTGACTTTTTCTAATCTTGTAATTATCTCAAGTACCTGTATTTCCTTTGCACCGCATGGGAGATGCGTTAGAACGAACAAACCACGACGACCACAATGATGATTAGCCATGAGGGGGTAGGTTGAACGCTTGCCGTGTCGTGCGCCTTTTCAGACGCAGTTTCGAGTTCCTGGACCTCATGTTCCAGGAGTGGCAGACGGCTGCGCTGGAGAGGTGAGCGGGGCGGGGCAGGGGAGAACGGCGGTCCGTCACTGTTGGTATGGGGGTCGGGACAGCACCGGCGTTGATGCTGAACGAATGCGGTCATCCGCTAAGCCCTCTGCATCCGCGCCCGCCGCTCTCGAACCACGTGGACGGCATTGTGACGCCGCTGCTCACGGGCCTCAGATGTCCACCACGAGGCAACTGCTGAAGCCTCCCATTGGCTCGCTTGACGACCTCTGCACGAACGCGTCTAGAATTTGTGAATTCGACAAGCAGGACAAAAATGCAGTTGTTCGGGAACTATCGATGGTATTTTTGCATAATGCAGGCAGGCCGAGTGCCCTTTTTCGACACGTCTTCCTGCGTGCCGGTTGAAACTTGTGGTTTTTCCCGACCTGCGTGGATGTCTCTGTCGCGACGATGGGTGTTCTCGCCATTTGCAGATACGATGGACTCACCCACGTGTCTGTCTGTCTCTCCGCCTGTCCGCAGACACGTGAGCCTGCTGGTGGACACGGTGCGCAAGGGGATCACGGACGCAGACTCGGACGCGAGACTCGAGGCGCGGAAGTGAGTGGGAGCTGCGGGGCCCTGAATCAGATCCCGGGTCGTGAAGATCCCTACGGGGCCCAAATTGACGCAACAATAACAACAACTCACCATTGTAATGCGGCCACGACGTAACAGACGTCTCAGGGTGACACACGATTACGATCGTTCGATTTTTATTCTTGATCCGTTTTTCGAGTTGTTGTTGTTATTATCATGACACTCATTGTACCCAGGAAAGCCTCACTGAATCTCTCAGGAGGATCCTGCAAAGTTTTCGAAGGAGGGGGATGACGTTACTGCTGTGTGTGGGATCCCCAGTGAGTAATAATTATCAGTGTAATTTTTCAGCATTGGGATGTTTTGCCCATCAGCGGTTCCACTGAATGGGTTTTCGTTTCTTGAGAAATGGGAGGTCACCGGAGAACCCGGAGAGAACCACGCAGACCAGGGGGGGGAGAGAGAGAGAGAGAGAGAGCACGCAGACTCCACACGGCGAGGCAGCCGAGTCGGGAATCGAACCCGGGTCCCTTGCCGTACGTATGTTGAACTTCTCTCGGAATGTATGCGCTAATCGGAAAGTGCGGGGGTAAGGAACAACGGACTACCGTTGCACACAACAACGGACCACCCCGATCCAAACCATGGGCATCACGGCCCCCCTAACGCGCGTGCGCCCCCCGCACCGCCTCCCAGGGCCTACTGGGGGCTCCACAACCACGCCCCCGGCGCCGCCAAGGCCATGCTGACGTCGCTGGAGCCGTCGTACCAGCGCGCCGTGACGGCGCAGCGCGGGGGCGCCCACCCCAACGGCTCGGGCCTCCTGCAGCCGCACTCGGACCGATCGTCGAGCAGCTCCCAGGAGAGCCTCAAGTAAGGGGGGGGGGGCTGGGGGAGCGGGGGGGGTGGGGGGGGGGAAGGGTGGGGCAGGGCTGGCCACCGCCGTGCCGTGGTGGAGGACGCGGCCACCGCACGGCCCGCGACCTCGATGCCCGCACGGATGACGTGCTGGTGTACGGGAGCCCCGTCACACGCACGAGCCGCTTGTACGCCACGAACACAGACGCAGCGGGTAATACAGCGGATGACAAACACACATTCTGACTTAAACAAAACAGGCGGTGGAACAAACTGCGTCTTTTTCTTTTCCCCCCCCCCCCCCCCCCCTTGAGTTTTTCTCGAACAATACAGTTTTGACTGTTGTACATTCTGTCGTCACCAAGTCATTCCGCGGTGACCCATTCCCTGCCGTATCGAATCAATTTACGTTCAATTGCGTTTAATATTTAAGTGACAAAGGAAAAAAACAACGGCCGCTCGCAAGGGGTAAGCCAAAGAGCCACATGCGGCTTGGGAAGCGCAGGCTGCGGACCCCTGTACGAGTACACCACCATAGAGCTCTAATAGCGTACCACGTACTGACACCGCGACCCCACAATACCGAGACCGTGGCGCACCGACCGTTCTGTCGGCTCCTGGTGGAGCCGGGTACCGTGGAAGACCTCGCCACGACAACAGGCCGGGCCACATCTTCATCATCGTCATTATCACGAGTCATGGTCTATCCACTGCTGGGCATTTCATCATCACGTGCGCGATGCAACTGTGGTGGCAGGACACGAGAAGAAGAACGCCATGACATTACAAAACCGTATCGCAACAACTGCCGCCGTTCGCCACTGAGCTGGCGGCGACGCCACCACGGCGCTTGTGCCAGGCTAGATGCACCTTGGGGCCCACGTGAAGTGTCAAAGGCTCGCTGGCAGGTCACGGGACAGGCCCAGGTCTTACGGGTTGACTGACTGACATGACTGGCAGAAGCACCAGCTGTGGTTCTCACTGTGCCAACGAACACATCACTGACACGGCGACACCAGAAAAATGTCACACGAACACCATAGAACACTAACACAGGTGAGCAGTGCACTCGCCTGTGCTCACCTCTGCCCCCCCCACCCGCCCCCGCCCCACCCCATCCCTCAACCTCCTGTCCCATCCCCGCTCCGAACACAGCCGCCACCTGGGCAAGAGAGGACTGCCCCACAACGTACACAAGGCGACGACGACCAAAGGTGAGCGCCAGTCAGAGGTCGAAAACGGGCTTTGATTCCTTACCCGTACCCGTACCCGGCCGCACCAGGGTCGCAAACGGCTACCCGTACCCGTACTCGGCTGGGTACGGGTAGCCGGGTATCGGGTACCCGGTTGCGACCTCTGGCGCCAGTCAGGCTGTGTCGTCGCGAGCGAGTGACCTACGAGGTGGCCGGCTGGCTCGGAGGTCAGGGCGTTGAGATCCTGGGCGTGAATCCAAGTTTCAGCCACCGCTCTGCTGCCTGTAGTTAAACCGGGTTGGTTCTTGCGTGCCGTGAGCCAGAATCAGAATCTTTATTTGTGACTGGAGGAATCCGATGAGCTATGAAGCTCTTTTTCACAGATGGTCCAGTAGGAGCACGGGGTCAGAACGTTACAACAACAAACAATACAAAAACACGGGAGGAGTGCAAAGTATAGGAAAGGTAAACAAATCACTAAAACAAGACAAATAAAATGAATTTTTTTATTTTACCAGGTAAAGCCCACTGAGCTATTAGCTTCTTTTTGCAGAATCGATCTGGCCACAAATGATAGCTCAACGAAGTGGCTTATCAAGTGGAAATTAAAACATCGCCGCATTACATTTTACGAATTATTTAATGGTAACTGCTTCGGCGGGGGGGGTGCAAAAACACACGTAACAACAACAACAAACAACACATTCGACTTTGCGTTAAATTTGGTGCCCGACTAAACGTGGCGTTGCTGAGTCCAACTCTCCTGTCTCTCTGCCAGTGCCGGCCGGCGCCCGCAAGCCCCCGCCCTGCGCGCCCGGCGCGATGCAGCGCTCCCGCAGCGACGTGGACGTGGGCGCGGCACACAGCGCCAAGGCGCGCATGGCGGCCGGCTCGGGGGGCGCCTCGGCCGTGGGGTCGGGGGTCGCGTTGGGCCGCGAGCGACCCCCGACAGCACCGGCCCGGCACCACGTGACGAGCAGCGGATACGGTGAGCGGTCGCACTGCAGTGATGACGATAATGACGATGACGATGATGACGATGACGACGATGATGATGACGATGATGACGATGACGACGATGATGACGACGATCATGATGATGATGACGATGATGACGATGATGACGACGATCATGATGATGATGACGACGATGACGAAGATGATGACGACGACGATGATAATGATAATAACGATGATGACGACGACGATCATGATGACGACGACGATGATGATGACGACGATGATGACGAAGACTATAATGACGACGATCATGATGATGATGACGATGACGAAGATGATGACGACGACGATCATGATGACGATGATGAGGACGACGAGGATAACGATAATGACAATGATGACAACGATGATAACGATGAAGACGATAATGGCAATGATCATGATGACGACGATGATGATGACGACGATGATGACGATGACGACGACGATGAAGACGATCACCGTCATTCGTTTTCGTTGTTAATCCGCAATTGCATTTTGGGTTAGGCCACGAAATGATCTGACCAAACTTATGTCGTGTAACCCTCCACCACCCGACGCTGCCCAATGTATGTACTGTATATGTATGTTGAACTTCTTTTGCACCGTACATAGCCAACCGTGATAATCGAAGGTATGGGGGAAGGACAACAAACTAAACACAAAATCAGTTCTAAAGAAACTAGTTTTCAATCTAGATGATTTAAAAGTGCAAAGTTCCGGTGGCTGCCTAATACCGGAGGGAAGAGCGTTCCAGACGGCTGCAGACGCGCATCTGAAAGCGCCACGCGATGCGGTGACCGTCTTTGTTAAATTGTCACGCGGTGTACAATCGTTTACCGAAGCGGCAACCATGATCATCGCAGCTCGCTCGACGGATAGGTTGAAGGAAAATTCTCAGGGCCAAGTTTAGCGATTGTACTCGCGACGTTTCTCTTGAAACTACACAAAGCATCAGCCGGTGATGGTTCACGTAAGTCCCATCAAAGCGGAGATGTTTTGCGTTTTCGAAACTGCTAACTGATGCGACAACCTACGCGCTAAGTTGGGGTCGTTGTCCTTGATCGTCATCATCAGCAGCAACGTCATCATCGTCACTGGTGGCAAAGGAAGCAACACCATCAAACACCACCATCACTACCACCTCCACCACCACCATCACTACCACCTCCACCACCACCATCACTACTACCTCCACCACCACCATCACGACCACCTCCACCATCTATACCACCTCAACCACCATCACTACCACCTCCACCATCACTACCACCTCCACCATCACTACCACATCAACCACCACCATCACTACCACCTCCACCACCACCATCACTACCACATCAACCACCACCATCACTACCACATCAACCACCACCATCACTACCACCTCCACCACCATCACTACCACATCAACCACCACCATCACAACCACCATCACTACCACCACCACCATCACTACCACCTCCACCACCTCCACCACCTCCATCACCACCCTCACTACAACCTCCACCACCACCATCACTACCACATCAACCACCACCATCACTACCACCTCCACCACCATCACAACCACCTCCACCACCACCATCACAACCAACATCACTACCACCACCACCACCATCACCACCATCACGTCACCATCACCGCCGTGTTCCCCAGGCATCCTGCACAAGCCGGGAGGCGTGGGCTCTCTGGGCTCTCCCGGCGAACGGCACGGACGCCCAGCGGCGAAATCCGTCTCCCAGAACCAGCGTGGGCCCCACACCACAGCTTGCACTCGCACACACACGGACACAAGGTCACAGGACAACAGACACACACCCAGGCTAATAGACAGACACACGTACAGACAGATCGAGACAGACAGGACGGTTGGCTATGTACTGTGCGAAAGAAGTTCAACATACACATACAGACAGGCAGAGACAGAGGACAGCAGACACAGACACCCACACACCCAGGCTAATACAGACACACACACCCAGGCTAATAGACAGAAACAAAATATCCCCCAGTATAGCCTCAACAGACTGTCGGGGCAAGTGCTATTAGCGAGTAGCACCTATGAAGGCCAGCACGGCACACGAGGGGGTGGGTGGCCAGCACCACGCCCGGCCGCCTTTGTCTCCCCAGTGCTGGCGATGTTTACACAATCGCCATTTCGCATCCCCCCCCCCCCCCCATCCAGGCAGCCGCTCCAGCTCCCCGGGCCGGTTCCTGGCGGGGATCGGAACGAGGGTGTCGCGTGGGCCCCGACCCCCGATCCCCGCGCCGGCCTGCGCCCTCCCCGCGCCGCCGCTCCTGTCCCAGGCCCCCCAAGCGGGGGCAGGGGGCCCCTCGGGGCAGCGGGGCAGCCTGATCCCACACAGCCTCGGGGGCAGCCGAGACTCCAGCCCGGCCAGGCTCGGGCCCTCCGGTATGGGGGTGCCGCGCGGAATCAGCCGGAGGGGTCGGAGAAGACATTATATTTTTCCACCTTGGGGTCGGAGAAGGGTTAAAATGCAACGCGCTGGTAGTCGTTGACGTGGCGTGTAAACGCGACCGCATCCCACTCCTCTCCGCGATGCTGCGCGGGCGGCGTGAGTGAGTCATTGAGAGTGGTTGGGTAGAAAAAAAGAAAGAGGGCAAGAGGAACGATCGCAGATGTAGGGTTGGACGAACGGCGGGGGAAGTGAAAGTGTGTTGGCGTCGTTTGGGAAAAATTGAAGGAACCGGAAATGAGAGGAAGACCCAATAGAGATTGGCTTGACGACGACATCACAAGAGATTGGTGCCAGAAAGATTCGGCCACTGCTTGAGTATATTGGCAGAGGAAAAGTGTAAACAAATGCCCAAATGTGCAATGGACACCTACAGGCTATTTGCCCTTGGATCGTGATGATGATAAGATAAAAAAAATATTAACTGTTTATTCAAATTAGTATGAACACAAATGAGTGTTTAGCCTTGACCCGAGCAAAGGGCAGAGTCTCAGCCACACCGGAGTACGAGAGGAACAGAATTCCAGACAGCAGGAGCGGCAAGAAGCAGATCTCGAGAGAAGGAGCGACCTCCTTGCAAGGAGCGATGCTCGATGAATGTGGGTGGCTTTGTGAGGATGCCTCTCTGGCCGCTGGAGCGCCATGGGCAAGACCTTGAATAATCTAAAAAACAACGGGTGCTGCAATCTTAGAGAGAGCAAAAGAAAGTCGGGTAGCGTGGTGGTCAGGCAGGGCCAATACCTGGCGTCATTTGCATAAATCATGCCCGTAACTCTGAATCAATCTCAATTAAAGGAGATGTTCCCTTGAGGGGTCTTTATGCAACTGGCTACTGGAGTCTAGTCCAAAATCTCGGTCGGAACCATCAAGTTCCTGGGAACTGACGCAGGGGCCCGAGCACAGGACTTGCGCGATTCTAGAAATGTCGTAAGTTGCGAGGCGTCGTAGCCCCGATTCTGTAAAAGGGTTCAGACACAAGCGTCGTAAAGTTACTGCGGGTGTGTAATAACTATGGTAACGCTACGCGTCGTCTGCTGGGAGTTAAAAAATCCCCCCGATGTCATTGGCTAGTGGGGCCATCGTGTGCCGGCGTCAGGGGTGCAAAATTTGCCAAATTAAAAAATTCACACCGCAAAGGACTAAAGTGGGATCGTGCGCACACACACACGCAGCAGCAGCAGCAGCAGAAATCGTTGCCCCCAACTTGCAGACCGATGCCCCCCAGGTGACTCCTTGCAAATGAGCCTCATCCTGGTCTCTGCGATGTCTCACCTGGTTCAACTAAAGAACTCGGAATCTCTGTGGGTGATTCTTTGTGAGTGTCCATTCTCGCCCCCCCCCAACGCCCCGTCCTGGCAGTTCGGGAGAGCCGCATCCCGCGAGTGAGCCTGAGCCAGGGCTGTAGCCGCGACACAAGCAGGGAGAGCAGCCGCGACCCCAGCCCCGTGCGAGCATTCGCGGCGCTCTGTGAGTGAGAGCACTCGCTCGCTCACTCACTCACTCTCTCACTCACCCGCTCATTCTCTCGCTCACTCTCTCGTTCACTCTCGCTCAATCACTCGCTCATTCTCTCACTCTCTCGCTCAATCATTTGATCACTCGCTCACTCGATCGTTCACTTTCTCACTCACCCGCTCATTCTCTCACTCACTCTCTCGCTCACTCAATCACTCGCTCGTTCACTCACTCGTTCGCTCACTCACACGACTGTGTATACACTGATCGAGGCACGAACACACAGATACACATACACCCGGCGGTCCCGTTTGGGCCGGTATATGACGGCGCGCCTTACCGCCACTTCTCAGAACACCAGACGCACGCGCGCCGGCCCCATTCAGAACGGTTCCTACTCCTAAATCCCGTCTGGTTAAACCCAGGATGATGGATCGTAGGCAGGCTGCCCTGAATGCTTCGAGCCGGCAAAGGTATTGCTGCAGTAAAGGGGCCCACGGTTTACGAATGTAGAGAAGAGAGGATCATAAAACGACCCGGAGCTTCGTGTGGAACGATATGCCAGGTGGCTTCCAATACAGCCACTGGTGGAGCCAGTGGGGGGGGGGGGGTGGCACGTGCCCCCCCCAATGATCCAATCGAAATCCCTAATTTCGATCGGATCATTGGGGTTTATTAGTAATAAATCGGCATTTTGCGACCCCCACTGTCACTCTGTAGCATATTATTACGTGCCAGGGACTCTATGAGATGATAGGACAATAGTCTGAGTCCATAATTGGCAATAAGTTAACGGCAAAGCGGTTATAAATGACTCAGAATTGCGCGCAGTTGTGTATACAGTCCACGACTTTCCTGAAGGCATTCAGCTTCAGCGAGCGCGATGCCGATCACACGATGCGGTTCGAATTCGACCCTCGATCGATGGCTGCGCCATCGCTGCACACGTGTCGAATAAAAAGCAAGGGACAAGTCATTACTTACTAACAACTCCTTACTTACTAACAACTCCTATCATTTTTCATTGCTGGAGGGGTTGCCCCCGCTACCTGAAAATCCTGGCTCTGCCATTGAATACAGCACCGGGATTTCCTCCGGTCACACCGCGGCTTTGTCCCGCACCCCGTGCCCTGACTGCCGTTCATCAAATTCCTGCCTCGCCTAAAGCGATGTTTTGATCCACCACCTTTGCGTCCACTTGCGCGTGTGTGTGCATATGTGTGTGCGTGTGTGTGTGTGCGCATGGGGAGCGGTAGAGTAGCGGTTAGCGCACTGCCCTATGAACCTGGCGACCCGAGTTCGATTCCCGCTCACGGCCAACACCGGTGAAGATTATCCTGAACCGGTCCTGGGCCTCCCCCTAGGTCGACTCAGCCTCAAATGAGTACCTGTTGTGTAAACATCTCTACTGGGGAGACAAAGGCGGCCGGACGTGGTGTTGGCCACCCACCCCCTCGTGCTCGCTAACAGCACTTGCCCCAACAGTCTGTTACAGGCTATACGGGGGATGTCTTTGTTGCGTGTGTGTGTGTGCGTATGTGTGTGCGTGTGGACATGTGTGCGCATGTGCGAGTGTACATGTGCGTGTGTGCGCGTGTGTGCGTGTGTGCGTGTGCGCGTGTGTGTGTGTGTGTACATATGCGCGTGTGTGCGTGTGTGCGTGTGGACATGTGTGCGCGTGTGCGTGTGTGCGCGTGTGCGTGTGCAGCCCGCGGGAGCCGCATCCCGCGAGTGAGCCTGAGCCAGGGCTGCAGCCGCGACACAAGCAGGGAGAGCAGCCGCGACCCGAGCCCCGTGCGAGCATTCACGGCACTCTGTGAGTGAGAGCACTCGCTCACGTAGAGATATCAAGACAAAGCTACCCCATGTAGCCTGGTCAGGATGTTGGGACGAGTGCGGCTAAGCGAGCACCTATGAAGCCCAATACGCTACACGAGGAGGCGGTGTGGAGAGCACCATGCCCGGCGGCCTTTGTCTCCCCAGCGGTGATGCGTACACACCGCACCACGAGGTACTCATTTAAGGTTGAGTCAACCTAGGCGAGACCCAGTACCGGATCAGATATTCGTCACTGATCTTGTCCGTGAGCGGGAATCAACATCCAAGCCTGCGGGTTCATAGTGCAGTGCGGTAACCACTGCACTACCACTCTCTCCCTTAGATTGACCTTGGCCACCACAAATGATAGCTCAAAGAAATGGCTTATCCCGTGGAAATGTATAGCAGCCAAATACTCAAAACGCATGTTTTTTCTAAATGTGGTGGGAAAATCCGGAGGACCCGGAGAACAATCCACGCGACCATGGGGGAGAGAGAGAGAAGCAAACACCAAATATACAGCAGCAGGCATCAGAGTCGGGATCGAACCTACGACCTCCTGCATACCAGGCGAGGTAGTTAACATCTCCTAGCCACTGTGATGAAGAATGAGAGACAGACACGCAAACTCCAATTATATAGCAGGCATCAGAGTCGGGATCGAACCCACGACCTCCTGCATACCAGGCGAGGTAGTTAACATCTCCTAGCCACCGTGATGAAGAATGAGAGACAGACACGCAAACTCCAATTACATAGCAGGCATCAGAGTCGGGATCGAACCCACGACCTCCTGCATACCAGGTGAGGCAGTTAACATCTAGCCACCGTGGCACTCACCTGATGACACAAACATAAGATGGACCTGTGTTCCCCCTCCCCTCTCCGCCCCTCCGCCCCCCCCTCCAGCCACGCGACAGCAGTCCCGCTCCACCAGCGCCCTCACCAACAGCTTTGTGCCTTCAGGTGGGCGAAGGGGTCGACGGGACGACGCGCGGGGCAGTGCGGGCTGTGTCCGTGTCCGTGCGTGCCACCCCGGCTAGACAAACCGATAGGGCGGCGAGCGCCGGCCCCGGCTGGCTGGCCGTCAATTCGGAAGGCGCTAAGCGACCGTTGTAAACCCGCGGTAGCATTGACACTCAAGGCAAGGGGATTAGAAATGCACGTTTAATTCGATTATTTAACACACCACCATCCTTGTGCGAACATTCATTGGTGCTCGTTAACAGCACTTGCCCCAATAGCCCGTTAAAGGCTACATGGGCGATCTTTGTCTTTGTGTGTGCTGGGTGCTGGGTGCATGTAGACCCCTACTCGCTGATGCAGAGTCGGGGAATCTCGTCGTCCGTGAACGCGATGCGATTCCTCGACCCGGGGTCCGACGTGGAGGCGGCTGTGGCGGATGCGCTGGTGCCGCATGGGGACACGGGGGGGGGGGGACACGGGGGGGGGGGACACAATGGGGGACACACGGGGGGGGCACACAATGGGGATACAAGGCGAGGGGGACATGGGAGGGGGACACACAACGGGGAAACCAGGGGGGGGGGGTACACGGGGGGGGGGGGACAAAGAGACATGGAGGTGGGGGTCAAGGGGACACGAGATATGGGACATAGGGACACGGGGACACACACGATGTCACAGGAATTCGTGGGGAGACGTGAAGACGCACAGGGACACAGACATAGAGAGACACAGGGAGACAGGAGACAGGAAGACATGAGACAAACTTGGACAACAACAACGACCGCCGTTTGGCACTCAGTCGCGGTGACATCACAACAGCACCTGTACCAGGCTAGGTGCACCTTCAGGCCACATGAAGTGTCGAAGACTCGCTGGCAGGAGGTCACGGGACAAACCCAGGTGCCATGGGTTGACTGACTGAGATGACTGGCAGATGCACCAATCGTGCTCCCCACTGTGCAAACTTTCTGCGTTTTAGCCAATGTAGATGCACCACTACCACCATCACACACACACACGTGTGCATGTACACAAAGACAAAGATCCCCCATATAGCATTAGCAGACTGTTGGGGCAATTCCTGTTAGCAAGCATCAATTAAGGCCGACACGGTACACGAGGGGGTGAGTGGCCAGCACCACGCCCGGCCGCCTTTGTCTCCCCAGTGGCGATGATTTTGCACACCACACCAGGTACTCATTTGAGGCTGAGTCGACCTAGGGGAGGCCCAGGACCACTTCAGACAATCGTCACTGGGTGCACACGTACACCACGAGACACACACGCACACACACGTCTCCCTGTCCCCCTGTCTCACTTCTTCCCGTGTCGTCCCACCCCCCCCCCCCCCCCCCGGTCATCTCGCTGTCCTTCTAGACCGGAAGCACCAGAGCCAAGGTGAGGCGGCGAGTCTGGTGAACTACGCTCATGACCGCACAGCGACGGGGGCGTGGGGCGTGCGCGGTGGTCGTGGGTGATGAGTGTTTGCGGTCGGGGTTGGATGGATAACGGACGGTGATATTTCACGAATCGCTGTGACAGGAACGGTAGAACATGGGGATGTGATGATCCTGTTTCATAACGGTAGATGATGATGATGATGACGCTGAAGAATGCCGATTCATTGTAGTTTAAGACTGTGGCAGATGAATGATGCCTGGCATGACGTTTTCTGATACGCCGCATACTATTGTAGTTCATACTCTTGGGTCTTTCGGTCATGTCACGTGAATAAAAAGTAATAAATCACGACGTTTCGATCGCAACACAAGCAATCGTCTTCAGGTGAGAGAGAGAGAAAAAGCTGCTGAGACAAGGTCTTATATAGGCCTGAGATGGGTGCATGAAGGTAGATAGGTGGAGCTTGCTGTTACTCATGGTGCTGATACTCATGCCGCTGCTTCCAGTGCCGGATTAAGCTAGTGCGGGGCCTGTAGCATTTGTTGTAAAGGGGCCCTAAATAAAAAAAAAACGAATAATAAAACACAATTTTCTAACTTGCATAGTAAAGTAATTGTATTCTTTCATTTGCTATACAGCCAGCTAATACGACAAATCGCTAACCTTCAACACCCAGTCGTTTATAAAAGTTGAAGGCGGTATAGTACTATAGTAATAGAGCAAGTGCAGAATCACTGAACCGGAATTGATAGCTTGAAAGCATTTAGCGTGGGGCCCTTGAAAGTGTGGGGCCCGTAGAATTTGTAGCTACTTTTGCTACTAGGATAATCCGTCACTGGGGGCTGCTGCTGATGAGGATGATGGCAATGCCGCTTGCTGATGGTATCTCTTGACCAGTGGTTCTTAACCTTTGCTGCAGCCTTGCACCCCTTTCCTTCTCCATCGTAATTTTTTTCTAAAATGTTAATACATACAAGGGGTATGATGACGCACCGTGGTTGTACTTGCGTGCCCGTGCTTAGTTTGTCTTTCGAATATTTGCCCCCTAAAGAAATCTGGCCGTGTCTCGTACCTCCAGAAAGGGCATCAGGGGGTGCGTGTATGCACCCCAGGTTAAGAAGATGATCCACTGCTCTTGACCATTGTTCTGCCGCTGACGGTAAAGTCACCTGCGCTGCCAATGATGACGCTATCTCTGTCCAACCTGCTGCTGCTGCTGATGATACCGATCTGCTGCCGATGATGACTGCTCAACCCGAGCTAATCATGCGTTGGCATCTGGATTTGCCTTTGTGCTGTTCGCCTTTTGGTGTCGTTCTCCGGTCTAACACCGGCGGCGAGGCGAGGCCACAAGGGAGGTTGTCTGGTGGAGGCCAATCCGCTTCAAAGACAATGTGTACTCTCATGTCACAGCGCGCTTGTTTGCATGTTTAAGCACAGAACACGACGTGTGGTTAATGCAGACGCGATGTCTTGCAACGGGTGCCCGTTTTCAGTGGTTCTTCATTGCAAGGCAGAGGTCGCAATCGGGTACCCGATACCCGTACCCTACCCGGCTACCCGTTTGCGACCCTGGTGCGGCCGGGTACAGGTACGGGTAAGGAATCAAAACCCGTTTGCGACCTCTGTAGCAAGGCCCCGCGAGGCCACTGACGGTCCCTGGTGGCCTTTAGTGCGGCCTCCGACAACTCCACACAACAGACAACTACACACAACACACAACTCCACACAACACACAACTCCACACAACAGACAACTCCACACAACACACAACTCCACACAACACACAACACCACACAACTCCACACAACACACAACACCACACAACTCGCGTGAAAGACACGCCCCACGTGCTGCTGTCAATACCCCCCAATGGTGTCAAATGCACGTTCGGCCCTCCTCGCACCGATGATGTCTTCTCGGCGCAAGTGCGCCCCACCCCCCACTGAAAATGAGCCAATAACACCGCTCCTAGTTGCTGTTCAAACATCCGAACGCCTCCTGTATTGATTCGCCGCGATCGATTTGCCTCGCCGCCCACACACCCTTCTCTACCCCCCCCCATCCATCTTCTTGGTTCTTTCGGTAAAGTCACGTAGAAGGGAAGTAATAAAATAATAAAACATAATAAAAATAATTTTATTATGTTTTTTTTATTACTTCCCTTCTACGTGACTTTACCGAAAGAACCAAGAAGATGAATCCCTGCAGTCACGAAAGCTTTAAATCGAAATAAGTATAACCCGTAAAAACAAAGTTTTTCACTATAAATCCTTTATATGCGTGGCGGCTAGAGTCCTCTCGTCCTCTGGCTTGAGATGGCTGCCACCTATGGGTCAGATGATTGTCTGCCAGTATTAAGCAATTGGTAATTAAATATTTAATTTGTTTTCCCTAAACAGTGTAAAATTTTGGAAAAAAAATTTCACGAACATTAATTGTCTCGCACAACGAGTCTGTGTGCAAAATGTCAGCTCGATTGGATCACGGGAAGTGGGTTAAAAAACGACCGAAATGTTTGCACGGTCGTAAGCAAGCAAGCAAGCACGCAAGCAAGCGAACTTAATATAAAGGATTTAAAAATACCCCCCTCCACTCTCTCCCGGCACGGCAGCGCAAGCCCGTGCGCCGCCGCTACGACGCCTACGGGATGACTTCGGACGACGACGCGATGAGCGACGCCTCCAGCGCCTGCTCCGAGCGCTCGTGCGGCTCGCGGGGGTCGCGGGGGGCTCACGGGGCCCCCCTCGCGCCGGGGGGGGCCCCGGGCCCCTACCTGGCGCGCCAGGCGGAGGACGTGGCCGACATCCTGAACCGCTGCGCCAGCTCCAACTGGGCGGAGCGCCGTGACGGGCTGCTGGCGCTGCAGGCGCTGCTGCGGGCACAGCGCACGCTCAGGTGCCGACACTGCGCATCCTCCTGCTGCACATGCTGCTGCACATGCTGCTGCTGCACATGCTGCACCTGCTGCTGCTTGCCCTGTTCCTCCAGTGCCTCCTCCTGCTGCTGCTGCTCCTACTCCTCTCTGTCTCCTGCTGCTGATGTTTGTAATGCTGCTGCCTCCTCTTCCTGCTGCTGCACATGCTGCACATGCTGCTGCTGCTTGCCCCGCTCCTCCAGTGCCTCCTCCTCCTCCTCCTGCTGCTGCTCCTACTCCTCTCTGTCTCCTCCTGCTGATGATCGTAATGCTGCACCTGCTGCTGCTGCACATGCTGCTGCACATGCTACTGCTGCTGCTGCTTGCCCCGCTCCTCCAGTGCCTCCTCCTGCTGCTGCTCCTACTCCTCTCTGTTTCCTCCTGCTGATGATCGTAATGCTGCTGCTGCCTCTTCCTGCTGCACCTGCTGCTACTGCTGCTCGCCCCGCCTCCTCCAGTGCCTCCTCCTGCTGCTGCTGATGACAGTAACACTACCGCCTCCTCCTCCCCACTCCCCCCGTGTGTCTCCCCGCGGTCTCCTCGTGTGTCTCCATGTATCTCCGCTTGTCTCCCCCCCGCTTGTCTACCTGCCGCGTCTCTCCTCCTGCGTGTCTCTTCCCCGTGTCTCTCCTCCCCGTGTCTCTCCTCCCTGCGTCTCTCCTCCCCGCGTCTCTCCTCCCCGTGTCTCTCCTCCCGGCGTCTCTCCTCCCCGCGTCTCTCCTCCCCGTGTCTCTCCTCCCGGCGTCTCTCCTCCACGCGTGTCTCCTCCCCGTGTATCTTCCCCCGTTTCACCTCCCCGTGTCTCCCCCTCCGCGTCTCCCCCCCGTGTCCCCACAGCCGCGTGGAGCTCAAGCGTCTTTGTGAAATCTTCACGCGAATGTTCGCCGATCCGCACAGCAAGGTGTGTGTGGCCCGCGCATCACGTGGCCGCGGGGCTGGTGGGATGTGTAAACAATTACGTTACCACGAGGAGAGGCCGACGTGAGACAGACGTTGTCCACTTGTGATGATTCTGTGTTGTGTATTTTACGCACTGTATGTATGGAGTGTTGCGTAGAAATGGGAGTCACATCTAGCAGAGGGTCAGTTTAACACGTCGTAGGCTTTCGCGAGCAATGTCATCCATAATACAGGTGTTTTTTTGGGTGAGATCGCGTGAATGTATAAATGTGTCGTTAAACCTGCCGCCGCCCGACACAGCCAACTAGTAAGGTGTGTCACATCTATGTGAGGGATGAGTATTGTCTGATCATTATTTTATCACTTGTGCACCTGATATCCGGTCACCTGGTCACATGGCCACCTGGTCACCTGATGACCTCCAATTCATTCGCACACCTGCGGACGAGCTAAGCGGCAGAGCTTATCCGCTCCACCATTTACAACGGCTGCGGAAATGAACGTGGCCCCATTTAAAAAATCATACATTTGATAGGCATGTGCCATTGGGGACGGAGGGAGGGGTGGGGGTGTGGGGGGGGTCCCGTTGAATTCCCATCGTTGTTTGTGGTGAGAATCAGGTGAGTTGGTGAGCGGTGGGTGTGCCGGCTGGATCTGCGACGAGAGTCACGCGAGTTGTAATGTCACCCCCCACTCGTAACGCAACGTCGAGAGGCGAATCCGAAATGCCCTTCTTGCCATTCCCCTAAAGTCTCCAACCCCTGTGCCCCCCCTGTGCCCCCTGTGGCCCCACGTGCCCGCTGCCCTGGATCGGGATTCTGCAGAGAGTGAGTTCCGCACAAACACTCGGCCAATTCTGATGCGGCGTACTACGCAGCCCCAGCACTGGGGCGGTGCGGCGGTTTGTGCTCAGCGCTGCGAACCCGTGTCCCCCCGTCCTCACGTCCCCCCGTTCTCACGTCCCCGTCCACCCACGTCCTCACGTTCCCACCCCCCCCCCCCGTTCTCACGTCCCCATCCCCCCACGTCCCCGTGTCCCCCCGTTCTCACGTCCCCCCACGTCCTCACGTTCCCGTGTCCCCCCACGTTCTCACGCCCCCATCCCCCACATTCTCACGTGCCCGTACAGACAATGTCCTCACGTTCACGTGTCCGCCTATCTCCACGTCCTTTCGTCCCCGTACCCCCGTGTCTCTATGCCCCTATACCCTCGTGTCCCATCCTCCTTACTCCATGCGTTGCTGCATCCACGCCTCTCCTCCCCCAAAACCACCGCATCCCAATCGCCCAACTCCACGCACCCACGGCCCATACCTCCAACGGTGCTCCTCACCTCTACCCCCCCCCCCCCCCTGTGCACCGCCCCCCCCCCCCCCCAGGTGTTCAGCATGTTCCTGGAGACGCTCGTGGACTTTGTGCTGACGCACCGCGCGGAGCTGCATGACTGGCTCTTCGTGCTGCTCACTCAGCTGCTCAAGAAGATGGGTGCCGACCTCCTGGGCTCCGTGCAGGCCAAGGCCCAGCGCTGTCTCGACGTCACCAGGTGAGGCCGGCGCGGGGTGAGGTCGCCCCGGCGTGGGGTGAGTTTGCCTGGTGAGGGGTGAGGTCGCCTGGTGAGGGGTGAGTTTGCCTGGTGAGGGGTGAGGTCGCCCGGCGAGGGTTGAGTTTGCCTGGTGAGGGGTGAGTTTGCCTGGTGAGGGGTGAGGTCGCTGAGGGGTAAGGTTGCCCGGCGCGGGGTGAGTTTGCCTGGTGAGGGGTGAGGTCACCTGGTGAGGGGTGAGGTCACCTGGTGAGGGGTGAGGTCACCTGGTGAGGGGTGAGTTTGCCTGGTGAGGGGTGAGTTTGCCTGGTGAGGGGTGAGTTTGCCTGGTGAGGGGTGAGTTTGCCTGCTGAGGCAAGCTGAATGAGGGGTAAGCACCGGGTGAGCCGAGCAAAGGCACCAGGCGAGGTCAGTTTGGTGAGATCAGGTGGGGTCACCGGGTGAGGTCAAGTGAGGTCAGCAGGGGTCACCAGGTGAGGTCAGAATGGTGAGGTCACCAGGTGAGGTCAATGCATGGTTACCTGGATGTTAAGGTCACCAGGTGAAAGCAGAACAGGTCAGCCATGTGAGGTCAACTAAGGTCACAAATTAGGGTGAGGTCAGTGTGGGGTGGGTGGTGTACTGCGGTGCGGGAGCGATGCAGTGGTGGGATGGTTACGCCATTGCTGCAGTGGCATCAGCTGGCGTGATTGTGACGCTGGAACGGTGCGATGTGATGGTGTAATCATGATGTTGTGATGGTCTGATGCCATGTTCTCATGCTGAGCGCATTAATGTGGACATGTTACGATGGTATGATGTGTTGGTATAGTGTGACGATGTGACGGTGTGACGACGATGGAACGATGCGAAAGTATGATGTGATGATATCATGGTATGATGTAGCGGCGTGACGGTACGGCGTGATGGCACGGTGTGATGACGATGCGACGGTGTGATGACGATGGGACGATGCGGTGTGCGCGCCCACAAGGGAATGCTTTCCCCCGGACCTGCAGTTCAACATCCTCATGCGCTTCGTGGTCGACCAGACGCAGGTGCTTAACCTCAAGGTGAGATGCGTCCTGCGTGCTCCACCGCCTACAAGAGACAACAACAAGAATACTCAAACACGCGCGCGACGGTAGGGGGAAGATGACGTTCGGTGGTCCGCACAGATGGGTTCACGAACCCACACTGCCATCCCTACGGCTTTGGCCGTCAGCGCAGTGGCGACGCTCGCGCCTCGCGGCGAGGAAGCCCCTGGGTTCGATTCGGGACCCCGGGCCACCGTTCCGTGTGGAGTTTGCGTGTTCTCGCTGTTCTGCGTGGATTGTTTCATCCGGGTTCTCCGGTTTCTTCCTAATAGCTAAACAATGACCACCCACTCGGTACAACTTGTGTCGGTCAAAACATCCCAATGCTGAAAGATCACCTGCAAATGTACCCAATTGGGATCATGCACAACAGCAGCAGCATCGCCCCCTACTTGCAAGCACGTGGCAGGACCCTCCTGACGACGAGTCTTGAGACTCAGCGAGGCATTGCTGGGTAATACAAGCGAAATCCCGATTTAAAAAAAAATCAACAGGTTCTTGTGAACGCACTGGGCCGCGTGACCTGGGCCGCGTGACCTGGGCCGTGATCGTCACCGCGCCCTCCACCCCCCTCCCCCCCGCTCCCCCAGGTGAAGGTGGCAGTGCTCAGGTACATCTGCGCGCTGAGCCGCATTATGGAGCCGCGGGGCTTTGTGAACGCGAGCGAGACGAGGCTCGCCGTGTCGCGCATCATCACCTGGACCACGGAGCCCAAGAGCTCGGAAGTCAGGAAGGTGCGAGGGCGCCCACGTGACCACACAAAGACAAAGATCCCCAGCCCCCCATTATAGCCTTGCAGTCTGCTAGGGGCAAGAGCTGTTGTTAGAGAGCGGCAACGGTGAATGCCGGCCACGGCTCACAAGGGCGCAACGCTCGGCTGCCTTTGTCTTCCGCCCCCTCTGGCCAATGATGTTTACTACACACCGCACCAGGTACTCATTTAAGGCTGAGTCAACCTAGGGGAGGCCCAAGACCGGTTCAGATGATCGCAGATCTGTGTGTGTGTACTCTTGGAGACGCAGACACACACGGGTCTGTGTTCCCTTTAGACGCAGGTATGTGTGTGCATCTTCTTTGTGATGCATGCGCACCCAGACCCACAGACCCGTGCGTGCGTTCTCCCTCCTGCCCCCCACCCAGGCGGCCCAGGCAGTGCTGATTGCGCTGTTCGAGCTGCACCCCCCGGAGTTCACGATGCTGCTGGGGGCACTGCCCAAGACGTTCCAGGACGGGGCCACTCGCCTTCTGCACAACCACATCAAGGCGGCACCCAAAGCCGGGGGCAACCAGGCGAGCCTACGCCCCCCCCCCACTCACCTCTTGAACCCCCCCCACCACCACCAGCCTCCAATACCAACAAACGGGACCAACCGCACACGTAACTTCCCCATCACTCCGGCACGGTGGTGACGGTCAAGGTGGTGGTGATGAGTGCGTTCGTTCTGATGATGGCGATGGTGATGGTGGGGGCGGCAGATCATGGGGATGGTGGAGATGATGGGGATGGTTAGGATGGTGGGGATGGTGGAGATGGTGGAGATGGTGGAGATGGTGGGGATGGTTGAGATGGTAGAGAATAACGCCATGGGGGGAGGATGGCGATGATGTAAATGAGCTTCACTTCGTCAGGTCATTGTCAGGTCGTGATTGGATCACGTGGGTCTGCTCTGGTCCAGTTGATTCAGGTGATGTCGGGTCACAGCGGATCAGATCACGTGGGTCGGGTAAGCTCACGTCGGGACAGATTTGGGTCAAGTCAGGTCAATTCAGGTCAGGCTGGGAAGGCCGTACGAGTCGAATAAGTTGCGGTCATTTTGTGTCGGATCAGGTTGGGTGGCGTCAGGTCACGTGGGTCAGCTTGGCTCCAGTTGAGTGGGCGTTTGGTTGATCAAGTCATGCGAGTCTGTGTAAGTGGGGTCAGGTCAAGGGGTCAGGGGTCAGGTCGAGTTGGGCCAGATCAGGATAGTTGGGTCGGGTCAAGTTGTATGGGTCTGGTTGGGTCACCCGAGGTCGTCGTCTGTGTCGCTCCCTTCCCCTCCCCGCTCCAGGCGTCCGCGAGCGGAGCTGCCCACCGTGCCCCCATGCGCCCCCCAGCGAACAGGGTCAGCCCCGTGACCTCGCCCTCCGCCTCCTCCCAGGGGACCGTGTCTCCCGGGTAGCCGCTCGCACCGCCCTTGACCACACACAACCACACTCACAGCCACACACACATTCAACCACGCACACCCACACGCACGCACAACCACACGCAGAGCCACACACACATTCAACCACGCACAACCACACGCACGCACACTCACAGCCACACACACATTCAACCACGCACAACCACACGCACGCACAACCACACGCACAGCCACACACACATTCAACCACGCACACATCACACGCACAAGCACACGCACGCTCGACTACGCACAACCACACGCACGGTCAACCACACGCACACTCGACCATGCACAACCACACGCACGCACAGGCACACGCACAGCCACACACACATTCAACCACGCACACCCACACCCACGCAAAATCACACACACGCTCAACCACACGCACACTCGACCACGCACAACCACACGCACGCACAACCACACGCACGCACAACCACACGCACACTCAACCACGCACAAGCACGCGCGCACAACCACGCGCACACAACCATACACTCAATCACGCGCAACCACACACATCCTCAACCACACACACCCTCAACTACGCACACCACACTCACCACACGCACCTTCAACCACGCACGACCGTGCACAATGACAAAGATTCCCCCCCGCATAACCTTCAGAGACTTTTGGGGGAAAGTGCTTTTAGCGAGCAGCACCCGCTCACCAGCCCACACGCACACCCGCGCCGTTGCGGCAGCAGCAGCGTTGCCGACCGTGCCCGTCTCGCTGCGCTCGGACGAACTCTGGCGGCAGGACGAGCGAGGCGGACGGGGAGGCGGCGGGGGAGGAGTTCTACCGCTCCCTGCGAGGCGTGTCGCAGGCGATCCAGAGCTACAGCTACCGCAGCCAGGAGGACCTCACCGAGCAGTCGGCCGCCAACGCAGCCGCCGGGCGCGAGCAGGTGATCGTCAGCATCGCCGCAGCCCGTCGACGTGACGGCCACTATCGTTGTTATCTTTCGATTTAAAGCTTTCGTGACTGCAGGGATTCATCTGCTTGGTTCTTTCGGTAAAGTCACGTAGAAGGGAAGTAATAAAATATCTTTTATTTTTATTATTTTATTACTTCCCTTCTACATGACTTTACCGAAAGAACCAAGAAGATCGTTGTTATCGTTGCCGTTGTTATTATCGTCGGTTATCGGCAGGGTCGGAATAACCCATCGGCTAGTAAAGCCTTTGGCCTTCGTATTTTGTACGCCCTCCATTAGGGCCTCCTTGCCATGTTGAATTAACAGCTGAGTGACGGTTGTTTTTGAATTAAGAATTCGTGCACTTTGCCACAGCTGAAGCGAGGAGAACTAATTAAATTGAGTGCGTTTAAAGAAATGAGCGGAGCGCACGATTTATGTTTGATGAATTTACCTTGGGTTGCATAACGTTGGTAATTTTACACGGGTAAATGAATCGATACATATGTGTGATGCCTTCATAGAAATATTTGCAATGGAATGTGGAACTTCCACTATTGGCTCAAGGGTGTAAACAGGAGATGGCCACCGGTGTGTGCTTATATCCGAAGTAGTGTGCTTGTATCCGAAGTTGTGCTTTACCTTCCCCCCACCAGTGGAACGTGAGGACTCGTTGCTTGTATGAGAACTGTGCTTGCACAAGGCGTGCTTATATCCAGCTTGTGTGTTGCCGTGTTCAGGGCACGGGGGCGGCATTGGGGAGGGAGGGCGAGGGGGGGCGGGACACCCCCGACAGTGAGTGGCGCTCACACCACCACACCACCACGTCCACGTGTGGCCACACGCACAAACGCACACCCATGCTTACACCCAACCATGTACCCACCCACTCACTCACTCGCTCAGCCAGCCATGAATCAAACCACTGGTCGGTCCACACACCCTACATTGACCTAACCACCCATGTAACCGTCTACACACCCACCCATGGACCCACCCACCCATCCATCCACCCATCCACCCACACCCAACCACCCATCCACCCACACCCACTCGCCCACCCACCCAGCCATCCACCCACACCAACCCACCCACCCATCCATCCACCCACCCACACCCGCCCACCCATCCACCCACCCATACCCACCCACCCACACCCACTCACACATCCAACCACACCTCCCCATGCTTCTCTCTCGCCCCCCCCCCACCCATCCCAGGCCAGGGTGGACCCCCGGCCGCCTCGTCCCTGGCCGAGCTGCTGGCCGAGCTGACGGGCCCCGGCGGGCGCCCCGAGGAGCGGCGGGCCGCGCTGCGCGAGCTGCAGCGCGCCGGCCGCGAGGAGCCGGCGGCCGCGTGGGAGGAGCACTTCAAGACCGTGCTGCTGCTCTTGCTCGAGACGCTCGCGGACGCAGACGTGAGCCAAGCCCGCAAGTAGTTCTGCGGCGTCCACTTCTGCGAGCCCGTCGAGCTTTTCGTCTCGGCGACCGGCCTTTTGCGTCTTCGCTCGGTGCGCCTTTGAACAAGATCGGTTCGTAACGGTCACCTGTCACCCCCCGCCCCCCTCCACCCTCCCGCTTATCCCCGTCGTCCTGACCGTCGCCCTCAGCACGTGACCCGCTCGCTGGCGCTGCGAGTGCTCAGCGAGTTCCTGCGTCGCCAGCCCACGTGCTTCCGCAAGTACGCGGAGCTCACCATCATGAAGGTCCTGGAGGCACACAGAGACCCACACAAGGAGGTATGGGAGGGAAGCAGCCACCACCACCACCACTCTCGCGCAACACCACCAAAATCATAACTGGTAAACAAAACGCTGTCGTCGATAACACTGTGGCTTTAATGTAAAAAGTATATTAGAGGGGATGTTTTGGTCAATAGCTCTTCTTCATAACTCATAAATAGAGGCTAGAGAGGTAGGAGAACCACAACCATCATCACAACTATAATCATCGCTGTTGCCCCCAGCACCCTAACTGAGATCAATCAACACCACAGACATTTCCACCACCACCACCATCATTATCGCCATCAGCTCAACCACCACCACCACAGCCACCACTAACACGATCACCATCACCGCAACGAATCCCACCGGCGTCACCAGTACCATCGCCTTCACCTCAAACCCAAACCTACACCGCCAACCGCCCTCAACGCATGCTCGCGTCACCCCACTCCCACGTCACCCTGGACCCATGCCACCCAGTGCTCACGTGCTCACCCCGCATCCACTTCACCCCACTCCAACCGTTCTAATCGGACCTCCGATTAGCACGGTTGGAGTGGTTGGCAACGTACGGCGCGAAAGAAGTTCACCACACATACAGTCTCTGACCCCGCTCCAACGTGACCCCGCCCCCCACCCGCCCCATGCCCGCACGCCGCTAGGTGTGCCGCGCCGCCGAGGAGACGGCGTCGGTGCTGGCGGCGTCGCTGCCCGCCGAGCAGTGCCTCAAGGTGCTGTGCCCCATCGTGCAGACGGCCGACTTCCCCATCAACCTCGCCGCCATCAAGATGCAAACGCGCGTCATGCAGCGGCTGCCGTACAACGCGCTCATCCAGCTGCTGCCCGACATCATCCCGGGCCTCTTGCAGGTGTTTGTTGTTGTTGTTGTTATTTCGACTGTTACGTGGGAAACTACTCGATTGGCGCTGTTGAAGGTAGCCTGAACCGACATTGCCCGAGTTCTGCGGTCCTGTATTAGCCACACGGGTAGACTTTGCCCCATGTACGGTTATGAAAGCTGGCTAGGTCTTTACAGCAGCAGCTCTGCTCCAGAGAGCGTTCATTCATTTATTTAAAGCTGCTTCTTGTTGTGTTTAGTTTGTTGTCCTTTCCCCGCACCTCTGATTAGTATGGCTTGCTATGTACGGTGCGAAAGAAGTTCAACATACATACGGAACGTTTAATGAATTCCATTGAGTGCCTGATCGATTAAGTCCCAGATTATTCTCTTTTTTTCCCTTCTTTCCCAGGAAATCTTTGCCGAGTCTTCTACATGAGGGTCCTGCCAACTTTTTTCAATAATGGGGCCTGATGTTGCTGCTGTGTGATCCCAATTGAGTAATTTGCAAGTAATTATACAACTTTGGGATGTTTTGGCCCATGCCAGTTACATTTTATGTTTTATTTTCTTTATCTATGGGAGGAAACCAGAGAACCCGGAGGAAACCCATGCAGAACAGGGGGAGAACACACAAAATCCACACGAAAAGGATTCGAACCCAGGCCCTTTTTGCTGCCACCACACTACCGCCCAAACAACAATCAGACGCACACACGCCTGAAAACATTATCGTATGTCAAGCGCCTTGAGTGAACACGCTCTATAAATATCAATTAGATAATTATAATCATCATCAGCCACTCCGAAGTTGGTTACAATGGCCGCCCCCCCTCTGCCCCCCCCCACCCCACCAGGGTTATGACAACGCGGAGAGCAGCGTGCGGAAAGCGAGCGTGTTCTGCCTCGTGGCGATTCACACTGCCATCGGAGAGAGCCTCACCCCCTACCTCACTCACCTGTCTGGCAGCAAGGCGAGTCTCCCTTTCACCTGCTACCGAATTCACTGCATTCTAAGATTAAAGTTGCAACTTTTACATTGCGAACTATGCACTCCAATCACCGTAAACCTTCCTGGATGACACGTGTAGGGAGACACTGGAGTGTTATAAACTTCACAATTCCTTTGGCTTTGCCCCTATATCCCATATGTACAGTGATACCTCGGTTCACGAACGCTTCGGTTCACGAACAACTCGGTTCACGACCAGAAAATTTCATAAAAATATGCTTCGGTTCACGAACTCCGCTTCGGTTCACGAACAGGAGCCGCGCCCATTTTTATGCTAATTCCAGGCTGTCACATGGTCGTGATTTATTGTAACGGGAGCGAGCAATGCAAAATCAGCCGAGGGAGTACCCGCCTCCTCCTCCTCCTTGGGGGCTCCCGACACAGGGTGCGCCCGCCTCTTCTGCCCTTCACGCGCAGGCTACACGCGCGCACGCACGCGCACGCACGCGCGCGCACCCCGGAATGAGCGGAGAGGCACACATGCGCCAGCTGTGACAGTCATCCCTCTTCACCTAAAAATAAAAAAACCCTGAGCGATGGATTTTTTTCCACGTATTTTCGTCAGCGTTGACCACAGCCCCCCGAAACGATCTCTCCTTGAAAAATCCATTATGCAAAAATGGAATGAGTGCCATGACTTTTTTGAAAAGCACCACCCCAACATAGCTATCACGAACAGAGTGTTAAATCTCATGAATTATAATGTGGTCTTTCAAAAAAAAGGTCAGAACGGATTAACCGGATTTACATTGAACCCTATGGGAAAATGTGCCTCGGTTCACGACCAATTCGGTTCACGACCAGAGTCATTTCACGAATTAAGTTCGTGAACCGAGGTATCACTGTATAGTCATTCACACTAAATCTGCCTCCCTCTGCCCCTCCCTACAGATGAAGCTGCTGAATCTGTACATCCAACGTGCAGAGAGCAATGCTGGACCAGGCTCGCCCGGGTCCCCGGCTCTCAGCCTCTCGGGTCAATGCAGCTGATGGCCGCTTCATCGCTTCAGCACCCCCTGTCAGCTGGGCAGCTCCCGATATTCAACCTAAGTTTCAGTACCCTCCTATTGGCTGGACAGCTCCCCACCCACCAACTCTATTTCGTGTCAGCACCCCCTATTGGCTGGACAGCTCTCCATACCGAAAACAATTCCTGTTTAACACCCCCTTTTTGTGTGATAGCTTTCAACACCCCAGCTGAATTATGTTTCAGAACCCCACCTATTGGGTGGACAGCTACCCCACTACCGAGTGTACTTTCTGGTGTCACCACACAATAATCCCTCACTTAAAAAGTACCCACGCCACGGGTATGGAGTTGATGACGATTGCAAGCACGGCCCGATTATAAATCACGCAAGTGTCGTTATTATTGGGCACACGTTGTCCGTAAGGGCAAGTTCTGCTCGGGTGAGCTATGGGAATTCGAATCAGCACTGACATTACATGTGTTTGAATACATGGTAAATATGCAGCGCAAACACACGCTATAATACAGCGCACGAGCTCTTAGAATGTAGCAGATGTCAATGCCTGGAATAAGGGCGTAAATTATTAAACAAACTCCTCTTCCCGTACCTTCACGGTGCCATTCTGAACAGAAAGGATTCGTTCTGAAAACACTCGTGAATTCAATTGTTTTTGCAATTTGGGGGTCATATCTTGGTATTATTTTATAGTTATACATCTATTTATCAGCTAAGATATTTCACGTTCAGAATCCCTGCAGACGGAACATCTCAATTGCAAGGTGTCCACACGCAGACAAACACAGTATATACACAATATACCGTGGCGTGTAGGCATTTCATTTTTTTTATCATAACGCCTCTTTACTCAGCCCAGCCTCACTTGAGTCTCAAGCACTCCTTTCTTGGATGGTCCTGCCAATTCGTTTTTTTTGTTGCAGTAGGGCACAATGGTCGCTGCTATGTGCAATCCCACTTGAGTAGCTTGCATGTATATTGATCAGCATTGGGATGTTTTAGCCAATACCAGTTACATCGTACGGAGGGGTTTTTTTTAGCTATGGGAGGAAACAGGAGAACCTGGAGGAAATCCATGCAGAATAGGGGGAGAAAATCCAAACTCCACACAGAATCGCCCCAGTCACGAATTAAACCCATCTATGGACTCGAACAGGACGAATGTACAATCTCCAGCGGCGTGAATATTCAGAATCTGTAGCGGTGTGAATCTCCGTGACACACAGCCGTATGAATCGATATTGGCATGGATTTGTAAGGCTGCGTGGATTTATGGTGTGTACACAGACATTGGTATGGATGTCAACTATAGAGCGCACAATCTATACCGCGTATAATGCTATGAATACATAAATCTGGACCATATAAATCTATATTAATCTGTGGACTATGTAGGGATGTGCAGCTACTAACGTTTCGACAAAATTACCATTCACTTAATGCGGATATTCCGCAAATCCAAATGGCAAAAGCTTTTCGGGGAATTTTTTTGTACAAGTGCATGCCAGATGAACCTCGGGCGAATATGGAAATAAATAGGAAGCGTGTCTATACAACAGTCAAGTGCACACGGTGTGCCCCTCACACGGTGATGCCAGTGGTAAACACAGCATCCGTGGCATTCTTTCTGCTGCCGTTATATCGTTCAAATCAAGATTGCCGTTATGTCTTGAACCGTTCATCGTTGCACGCACGCGGTCGAAGATGTGTCAAGACTTGCAGACGCGATGTGGGCAGTGCCAACCACTCGAGCTTGAGGATGACCGGGAGCGCCGTTCGTCCACCATCGTCGTGAGCCCAGAACATCATTCCGCTGTGGATGAAACAACGCGGAACATTTTGTGGGAAGCAATCGCAAGTGACTCGCGAACATACTTGCCCCGGTCATGGGAATGTGGATGCATATTCACCACTGGTGGATTGCAGACACTGCAGCGATAGCAGAAACAGCAGCAGCAGCTAAAACACATTCCTTGTGCGGAGGGAGCTGGTAGGAACGCTGGGTTGCTCAGTCAATGGCCAGGGTCAACGGCGGCGTGGTGTATTCCGCAAATATGCCCGACTGTGAGGGCGGGCACAAACCGGCGTGAGTAGGTTAAACGTTGAGTTTTATAAGGGCACCACAGGGTGACCAGCCCCTCCCCACCCAGCCCCGCCCTCCCCACCCAGCCCCTCCCTGCACGACGGACGGACGGACACAATAATCCCCTGTGGGCTGGTGTAACCAGGAGGTTCCTACCAGTCAAATCTCTATCAGCTGGCTTAGTACCAGCGGCAGTAATGGCACTCGTAGTTGGTGTGTTGGTGGTGGAGGGAGATTGTGGGAGAAGACCCATAATGAATAGGCATGCAACTACTCTACAAAACTCTCTTGCACCCTCCTGCATCCCACCCTCACAAAGAATCGACGAATCGTAACGATTTAACAATCGGCTTTAAAAAAAAATAACCGACTTGCTGTGATGCGTCCAGAGTTCCATCCCCACGCGATCCACAAACTCATTCATTCTTAGAGAGTTGTTTCTTCACAGAGGCTGGCGTGGTGGCAAACGTAGAGTGCGCGAAACACAAAGAAGCAAGTGGAGGGTCCTGCCAAAGTGGAGACGGAGCGAACTTTTTTTTGCGTGTGGGTACCGTGACTTTAGCGGTAGATCGAGACTGACTGACGGATGCTGCTAAAGTATATATTTGCCGTATTGTGTCTCTGTGATAATATGAGGGTCCAGACGATGACGTGATGTAATCGATGTTAATCATCGATTACATTGCATGGGCGACTAATCCCAGTCGGTTTCCTTTCGAGCGGCCCCTTGCAATGCGTCGTTTTTGCTGGAATTTGGGGCCGGAGGTGGAACCGAGACGCAACGAACGAATCAACAGAGCCCCCTGCTCACGATCGGCGATGATTAATCGAGAGTATCGGATTTCCACGGGTGAACACGCCTGTACCCGCACACAGCCTCTAAGAGATTAACAACACACAAGTTAGAAATCTCGCTTATTTCAGCTCTTCATCAAGTGTATTGTCATTGGCTGGGAACTTCGTGATTATACTGCGGATTATAAGACGTACCCGGAGAGTGAGACTCACGGTATTAATACGGTTATGCAAGTGTCGTCTCTCACACAGATACAGACCGGATTAAAAGATTAACCCCCAAACTTTGTTTTCAAATACATGGGGGTAATTCTAGATTTGAAGCTTTCGTGACTGCAAGGATTCATATTCTTAGTTTTTTTTCGGTAAAGTCACGTAGGTAAAAAATGTAAATGAATAAAAGTAAAATAAAAAATAAAAATCACGACGTTTCGGAGGCAACACAAGCCTCCGTCAGGTGGTAATTTTTTACCTACGTGACTTTACCGAAAAAACCTAAGAACATGGGGTAATGTCCGTCTTATAACCCGGAGAATGCGGTAGGTGATGCTTTTTTTATTGTATGAGGATGTGGGGGTTGGAGGAATGAGGAGCGAACGTAATTCGCACCGAATCGAACTAATTTCAACATTTCGTAATAATCAGAATATTTGAAGCTGGAGGAATCCGACGAAGCCACAAAGCGCTTCGACCACAAGAGGTCAAATTAACATTCGTGACCACGCCCTCTCACGACTAGCCACGCCTCCGCCGCGCACCGTCAGCCAATCGCGAGGCGGCTTCGATCGGCAGCTCGACGGTGATTGGCCGTTGGCTGCACGGTGAGCGGAGAAGTCGCACGCGATTTTATTTTTGTTTTCTTGGTTCTTTCGCTAAAGTCACGTAGAAGGAAAATAATAAAATAAAAAAAATTTTCTTGGTTCTTTCGGTAAAGTCACGTAGAAGGGAAATAATAAAATTATAAAAATAAAACATAATAAAATAATTCTCACGACGTTTTTATTATGTTTTATTGTTTTATTATTTCCCTTCTACGTGACTTTACCGAAAGAACCAAGAAGACGAATCCCTGCAGTCACGAAAGCTTTGAAATCGAAATTAATTTTTGTTCTCCCCCTTTTCCAGCCTCTGAGCAAGCGGATATCACCGCAACAAGCAGATCGATTACTTGAACCTTCACATCGACTGATCGTCATCCAATTCAACGATCCGGTTAATTTCATTTTTTCCGAGCCGATGGGACCGAGCGCGACTGAGTTGCATGCGACAGCGATCGCTTTGAAATGAGCACACGGGGGGGGTCTGGAGGGAGTGAGGATTAGGATGGGATGGGATGAGGAGGGATGATGATGATGATGGATGTAATTGCGCGATGATCCATGGCTGCCTCGTCATCTTGGCGGTGAAGGGGAACGTTGTTGATGGTTGCCGGGTGATTTGTACATCGCCCTTCCTCGCGCGATTAAATTGCTCGTTTGCACAAAGATGACACCTGGAGGGAGCGGCGGTGTTGTGGTGTGCGTCGTGTTGCCGGACTCTCGATTCCTCTAACATAGTTCGCTGTCACCACCGGTGACGATTATCTTGGACCTCCCCTAGGTCCACTCAGCCTCAAATGAGTACCTGGTGCGATGTCTTCTTGGTTCTTTCGCAAGCAGCCGTCCGTCCTCAGGTGAAGAACATGTCTGTCGGAAAGACAGCGTCTGAATGAGCACCACCAGGCTTGGCAGCGTATATTTAACCTAACCCTACTCCCTCCCTTTGATGCTGCTAATCCTGCACAATGCATGGGCACAATATTACCGAAAGAACCAAGAAGATGAATCCCTGCAGTCACGAAAGCTTTAAATCGAAACTGGTGCGATGTGTTAAAACATCACCACTGGCCGAGTGTGGTGCTGGCCACCCACCCACTCGTGTGCCGTGCCGGCCTTCACAGATGCTGCTCGCGAACGGCACTTGCCACAACAGTCTGTTAAGGCTACACGGGGCATCTTTGTCTTTGGTGTACAATTGTGTTGGGATACGACTGGGTGGAATGGTGGTGGTGTAAAGTGTGCGACGTGGTATTTATAGAATGCTGTGGTGGTATGGTGTTGTACAGTGGTGTGTAGTGTGTGGGGTGGCTGTGGTGGTGTTCTGGTAGTGTGTGTAGTGTGGTGGTGTTCTGGTAGTGTGTGTGGCTGTGGTGGTGGTGTTCTGGTAGTGTGTAGTGTGGTGGTGTTCTGGTAGTGTGTGTAGTGTGGTGGTGTTCTGGTAGTGTGTGTAGTGTGGTGGTGTTCTGGTAGTGTGTGTAGTGTGGTGGTGTTCTGGTAGTGTGTGGGGTGGTGGTGGTGTTCTGGTAGTGTGTGGGGTGGTGGTGGTGTTTTGGTAGTGTGTGTAGTGTGGTGGTGTTCTGGTAGTGTATGGGGTGTTGGTGGTGTTCTGGTAGTGTGTGTAGTGTGGTGGTGTTGTGGTAGTGTGTGTAGTGTGTAGTGTGGTGGTGTTCTGGTAGTGTGTGTAGTGTGGTGGTGTTCTGGTAGTGTGTAGTGTGGTGTTCTGGTAGTGTGGTGGTCTGGTAGTGTGTGTAGTGTGGTGGTGTTCTGGTAGTGTGTGTAGTGTGGTGGTGTTCTGGTAGTGTGTGTAGTGTGGTGGTGTTCTGGTAGTGTGTGGGGTGGTGGTGGTGTTTTGGTAGTGTGTGTAGTGTGGTGGTGTTCTGGTAGTGTATGGGGTGTTGGTGGTGTTCTGGTAGTGTGTGTAGTGTGGTGGTGTTGTGGTAGTGTGTGTAGTGTGTAGTGTGGTGGTGTTCTGGTAGTGTGTGTAGTGTGGTGGTGTTCTGGTAGTGTGTAGTGTGGTGTTCTGGTAGTGTGGTGGTCTGGTAGTGTGTGTAGTGTGGTGGTGTTCTGGTAGTGTGTGTAGTGTGGTGGTGTTCTGGTAGTGTGTGTAGTGTGGTGGTGTTCTGGTAGTGTGTGTAGTGTGGTGGTGTTCTGGTAGTGTGTGGGGTGGCTGTGGTGGTGTTCTGGTAGTGTGTGGGGCGGTGGTGGTGTTCTGGTAGTGTGTGTAGTGTGGTGGTGTTCTGGTAGTGTGTGTAGGTTGGTGGTGTTCTGGTAGTGTGTGGGGTGGTGGTGGTGTTCTGGTAGTGTGTGGGGTGCTGGTGGTGTTCTGGTAGTGTGTGGGTGGTGGTGGTGTTCTGGTAGTGTGTGGGGTGGTGGTGGTGTTCTGGTAGTGTGTGGGGTGCTGGTGGTGTTCTGGTAGTGTGTGGGGTGCTGGTGGTGTTCTGGTAGTGTGTGGGGTGGTGGTGGTGTTCTGGTAGTGTGTGGGGTGGTGGTGGTGTTCTGGTAGTGTGTGGGGTGTTGGTGGTGTTCTGGTAGTGTGTGGGGTGGTGGTGGTGTTCTGGTAGTGTGTGGGGTGGTGGTGGTGTTCTGGTAGTGTGTGGGGTGGTGGTGGTGTTCTGGTAGTGTGTGGGGTGGTGGTGGTGTTCTGGTAGTGTGTGGGGTGGTGGTGGTGTTCTGGTAGTGTGTGGGGTGGTGGTGGTGTTCTGGTAGTGTGTGGGGTGGTGGTGTTCTGGTAGTGTGTGGGGTGGTGGTGGTGTTCTGGTAGTGTGTGGGGTGGCTGTGGTGGTGTTCTGGTAGTGTGTGGGGTGGTGGTGGTGTTCTGGTAGTGTGTGGGGTGGTGTTCTGATAGTGTGTGGGGTGGTGTTCTGGTAGTGTGGTGGTGTTCTGGTAGTGTGTGTAGTGTGGTGGTGTTCTGGTAGTGTGTGGGGTGTTGGTGGTGTTCTGGTAGTGTGTGGGGTGTTGGTGGTGTTCTGGTAGTGTGTGGGGTGTTGGTGGTGTTCTGGTAGTGTGTGGGGTGTTGGTGGTGTTCTGGTAGTGTGTGGGGTGTTGGTGGTGTTTGTCCGTGTTCGCCGTATGGGCCCGAACACACAATTTCCCTGTACAAGAATATGGAGTAAAACCGTACGGGTTGACAGGAATGGCTTAAGCACTGGGGAGACAAAGGCGGCCGAGCGTGGTGTTACTGCCCAACCACATTGGCCTTCGTAAGTGCTCGCCCAAAGCACTTGGCCTAAGAGTCAGTGAAGGCTATACGGGAGGGGAGGGCATCTTTGTCTTTATCTCCTGCCTCCACCGCGCACGCAGCACGCATACTGATTGCGTTGTCACGGCAACGAGACCGCCCCACCCAACGTCCAGAGCCCCCCCCCCCCTACCACCAGGGGGAGAGGGGAGGGATTGAGAGGGAGGGAGAGGGTGGGATTGAGAGGGGGGGGGAGAGGGTGGGATTGAGAGGGGAGGGAGAGGGGAGGAATTGAGGAGGGAGGAGCGGCAGGGAGTGAGAGGGGGGAGAGGCAGGGATGAGTAGGCGGGCGAGGTGGATTGAGCGGGAGGGAGAGGGTGGGATGCGAGGGAGGGCGAGGAGTAGCAGGATTGGACGGGGGGGAGCGGCAGGGATTGAGAGGGAGGGAGCAGGCATGGGATTAGAGGATGGGAGGGAGAGGGTGGGATTGAGAGGGAGGGAGAGGGAGGGAGGTTGAGATGGGAGTGAGAGGGAGGATTGAGATGCGGAGGAGAGGGGATTGAGAGGGGGGAGGTGGGATGAGAGGGAGGGAAGAGGCAGGGATTGAGAGGGAGGGAGAGGGGTGGATTGGAGGGAGGGGAGAGGGCAGGGATTGCGAGGGAGGGAAGAAGGCAGGATTGAGACGGGAGGGGAGAGGGAGGGATTGAGAGGGAGGGAGAGGGCAGGGATTGAGAGGGGGGGAGAGGGCAGGGATTGAGAGGGAGGGAGAGGGGGGGGGGGATGAGGGAGGGAGAGAGGGATTGAGAGGGGGGAGAGGGGATTGAGAGGGAGGGAGAGAGGGTGGGATTGAGAGGGGGGGGAGAGGGGAGGGATTGAGAGGGGGGAGAGGGAGGGGGGGAGAGGGGGGGATGAGAGGGAGGGAGAGGGGGGGGATGAGAGGGGGGGGGAGAGGGGAGGGATTGAGAGGGGGAGGGAGAGAGGGAGGGAGGGAGGGGGGGGAGAGAGGGGGGATGAGAGGGAGGGAGAGGGGGGGATTGAGAGGGAGGGAGAGGGGGGATTGAGGGGGAGGGAGAGGGGGGGATTGAGAGGGAGGGAGGGGAGAGGGGGGGATTGAGTGGGGAGGGAGAGGGGGGGATTGAGAGGGGGGGAGGAGGGGAGAGGGGGGGATTGAGAGGGGGGGAGAGGGGGGGATTGAGAGGGAGGGAGAGGGGGGGATTGAGAGGGGGGGAGGGGGGGGATTGAGAGGGAGGGAGAGGGGGGGATGAGAGGGAGGGAGAGGGGGGGATTGAGAGGGGGGGAGGAGAGGGGGGGATGAGAGGGGGGGAGAGGGGGGGATTGAGAGGGAGGGAGAGGGGGGGGATTGAGAGGGAGGGAGAGGGGGGGATGAGAGGGGGGGAGAGGGGGGGATTGAGAGGGGGGGAGGGGGGGATTGAGAGGGAGGAGAGGGGGGGATTGAGAGGGAGGGAGAGGGCGGGGATTGAGAGGGGGGGAGAGGGGGGGATTGAGAGGGGGGGAGAGGGGGGGAGTGAGAGGGAGGGAGAGGGGGGGATTGAGAGGGGGGGAGAGGGGGGGAGTGAGAGGGAGGGAGAGGGGAGGGAATTGAGAGGGGGGGGAGGGGGGGATTGAGAGGGAGGGAGAGGGGGGGATTGAGAGGGAGGGAGGAGAGGGGGGGATTGAGAGGGGGGGAGAAGGGGGGGAGTGAGAGGGAGGAGAGAGGGAGGGATTGAGAGGGGGGGGGATGGAGGGATGAGAGGGAGGGAGAGGGGGGGATTGAGAGGGAGGGAGAGAGGGGGGGGATTTGAGAGGGAGGGAGAGGGGGGGATTGAGAGGGAGGGGAGAGGGAGGATTGAGAGGGAGGGAGAGGGGGGGATTGAGAGGGAGGGAGAGGGGAGGGATGAGAGGGGGGGAGGGGGGGAGTGAGAGGGAGGGAGAGGGGGGGATTGAGAGGGAGGGAGTAGAGGGAGGGATTGAGAGGGGGGGAGAGGGGGGGATTGAGAGGGGGGGAGAGGGTTGGGATTGAGAGGGAGGGAGAGGGAGGATGAGAGGGAGGGATGAGGGGGGGGATGAGAGGGGGAGGGAGGGATGAGAGGGAGGGAGAGGGGAGGGATTGAGAGGGGGGGGAGAGGGGGAGGATTGAGAGGGAGGGAGAGGGGGGGATTGAGAGGGGGGGAGAGGGTGGGGATTGAGAGGGAGGGGGAGGGGGGGATTGAGAGGGAGGGGGATGGAGGGGGGGATTGATGAGGGGGGGAGAGGGTGGATTGAGAGGGAGGGAGAGGGGAGGGATTGAGAGGGGGGAGAGGGGGGGATTGAGAGGGAGGGAGAGGCAGGGATTGAGAGGGAGGGAGAGGGGGGGATTGAGAGGGAGGAGAGGCAGGGATTGAGAGGGAGGGAGAGGGGGGGATTGAGAGGGAGGGAGAGGGGGGGATGAGAGGGGGGAGAGGGGGGGATTGAGAGGGAGGGAGAGGGGGGGATTGAGAGGGAGGGAGAGGCAGG